TATGTTGGTATTTTGTTGTTTCTGTCCTGGTTTTATTGAATGAGAGTTTGGATTATGATTATGTAGACATGTTGGTATTTCCTAGTTTTATTGAATTAGAGTTTGGATTATGATTATGTAGAGATGTTGGTATTTCCTAGTTTTATTGAATTAGAGTTTGGATTATGATTATGTAGACATGTTGGTATGGTCTTATTATTTTTTCTATAAAGATCATCAATAGAGAAGATGGATGAGGTCTTTATACAAAAGGAAAGAAAAATTGGCTTTGTATGAATTATGGATCATAGAATTGAATTATCATGATCGTGTAAAGGCATGGATTGATCAACCAAGGAATTTCTCTATCTTTTAGATTGAATGTCGGAACAGATCTTTCAATTTAATTTTTTTCCTCTATGATTTTGATTTTTCAATTTTATGTTCATTTGATCTTTTCGTTTTGATCCGATTTTTATTTCATAATTTGGGTTGATGGTATTGATAGGATTTTCCCCAAAAATATTTAGATTTTTCATTTTGATTGGGTAGTTTTCCTTGATTTGAGCTTGTGGTTGATTTCAGCACCTGGTTGCACATTCGGTCCAACAAGGCCGATAAATCTAGTGTTCGAGTGCAGCCCCTGGTTGTACATTTGGTCCAGCAGGGCCGATAAATCTAGTGTTCGAGTGCAGCCCCTGGTTGTACATTTGGTCCAGCAGGGCCGATAAATCTAGTGTTCGAGTGTAGTCCCTGGTTGCACATTCGGTCCAACAAAGCCGATAAATCTAGTGTTCAAGTGCAGCCCCTGGTTGTACATTCGGTCCAGAAGGGCCGATAAATCTAGTGTTTGAGTGTAGTCCCTGGTTGCACATTCGGTCGAACAAGGCCGATAAATTTACTGTTCGAGTGTAGTCCCTGGTTGTACATTTGGTCCAGCAGGGCCGATAAATCTAGTGTTCAAGTGCAGTCCCTGGTTACACATTCGGTCCAACAAGGCTGATAAATCTAGTGTTCGAGTGCAGTGCCTGGTTGCACATTCGGTCCAACAAGGTCAATAAATCTAGTGTTCGAGTGTAGTCCCTGGTTGCACATTCGGTCCAACAAGGTCGATAAATCTAGTGTTCGAGTGTAGTCCCTGGTTGCACATTCGGTCCAACAAGGCTGATAAATCTAGTGTTCGAGTGCAGTCCCGGGTTGTACATTTGGTCCAGCAGGGCCGATAAATCTAGTGTTCGAGTGTAGTCCCTGGTTGCACATTCGGTCCAACAAGGCCGATAAATCTAGTGTTCAAGTGCAGCCCCTGGTTGTACATTCGGTCCAACAAGGTCGATAAATCGTGTTCGAGTGTAGTCCCTGGTTGCACATTCGGTCCAACAAGGCCGATAAATCTAGTGTTCGAGTGCAGCCCCTGGTTGTACATTTGGTCCAGCAGGGCCGATAAATCTAGTGTTCGAGTGTAGTCCCTGGTTGCACATTCGGTCCAACAAGGTCGATAAATCTAGTGTTCGAGTGTAGTCCCTGGTTGCACATTCGGTCCAACAAGGCAGATAAATCTAGTGTTTGAGTGCAGTCCCGGGTTGCACATTCGGTCCAACAAGGTCGATAAATCTAGTGTTCGAGTGTAGTCCCTGGTTGTACATTTGGTCCAGCAGGGCTGATAAATCTAGTGTTCGAGTGTAGTCCCTGGTTGCACAATCGGTCCAACAAGGCCAATAAATCTAGTGTTCGAGTGCAACCCCTGTTTGTACATTTTGTTCAGCGTCTTAATCTTGTTTGGCTGTTTCCAAGAGAAAGTTGACCACAGTTGCATATGAAGAACAATGCGACCAAATGTTCTTTCTTGGCAAATAAAGAAATGGTCATTATTTCTATTTTGCTACAAGTTTAAGAATATACTTTGTTGTTAAAATATCATCAGATATATGAAAATGATGAAACTGAATGAATTATGAAGGACGAAACAACTGTATGATGTAGCATCACTGACGAGTCCTAGAAGGACGAAACAGCTGTATGATGTAACATCACTGAAGAAACAGCTGTATGATGTAACATCACTAACGAAACAGCTGTATGATGTAACATCACTAACGAAACAGCTGTATGATGTAACATCACTGCAAGTCCTCGAAGAACAAACCAGCTGTATGATGTAGCATCACTGACGAGTCCTAGAAGGACGAAACAGCTGTATGATATAACATCACTGACAAGTCCTCGAAGGACAAAACAGCTGTATGATGTAACATCACTGCAAGTCCTCGAAGGACGAAACAGCTGTATGATGTAACATCACTGACAAGTCCTCGAAGGACAAAACAGCTGTATGATGTAACATCACTGACAAGTCTTCGAAGGACAAAACAGCTGTATGATGTAACATCACTGCAAGTCCTCGAAGGACGAAACAGCTGTATGATGTAACATCACTGAGGAGTCCTAGAAGGACAAAACAGCTGTATGATGTAACATCACTAAGGAGTCCTAGAAGGACGAAACAGCTGTATGATGTAACATCACTGAAGGGTCCTAGAAGGACAAAACAGCTGTATAATGTAACATCACTGAAGGAGAAGGAGGAAACAGCTGTATGATGTAAAATCACTAACAAGTTCTAGAAGGATGAAACAGCTGTATGATGTAGCATCAATGACGAGTTCTAGAAGGATGAAACAGCTGTATGATATAACATCACTGACAAGTCCTCGAAGGACAAAACAGCTGTATGATGTAACATCACTGCAAGTCTTCGAAGGACGAAACAGCTGTATGATGTAACATCACTGACAAGTCCTCGAAGGACAAAACAGCTGTATGATGTAACATCACTGACAAGTCTTCGAAGGACAAAACAGCTGTATGATGTAACATCACTGCAAGTCCTCGAAGGACGAAACAGCTGTATGATGTAACATCACTAAGGAGTCCTAGAAGGACGAAACAGCTGTATGATGTAACATCACTGAAGGGTCCTAGAAGGACAAAACAGCTGTATAATGTAACATCACTGAAGGAGAAGGAGGAAACAGCTGTATGATGTAAAATCACTAACAAGTTCTAGAAGGATGAAACAGCTGTATGATGTAGCATCAATGACGAGTTCTAGAAGGATGAAACAGCTGTATGATTTAAAATCACTAACGAGTTCTATAAGGATGAAATAGCTGTATGATGTATCATCACTGAAGGGTCCTAGAAGGATGAAACAGCTGTATGATGTAACATCACTGAAGGGTCCTAGAAGGACAAAACAGCTGTATAATGTAACATCACTGAAGGAGAAGGAGGAAACAGCTGTATGATGTAAAATCACTAACAAGTTCTAGAAGGATGAAACAGCTGTATGATGTAGCATCAATGACGAGTTCTAGAAGGATGAAACAGCTGTATGATGTAAAATCACTAACAAGTTCTATAAGGATGAAATAGCTGTATGATGTAACATCACTGAAGGGTCCTAGAAGGATGAAACAGCTGTATGATGTAACATCACTGAGGAGTTCTATAAGGATGAAACAGCTGTATGATGTAACATCACCGACGAGTTCTATAAGGATGAAACAGCTGTATGATACAGTTCAGTAATTGCCAGGCTCTACAGTATCATAACTCTCTGTATTAAAAGGTGCTATTCACTTTTGTACAATCTGCATCTCCTTGCAATCTGGCCACATGACAAAGGTATTCAGTGTGACTTTGTGTCCTCAATCTTTGTATCAGCCAGATTAAAATGGAAACTGTTTAAATTTATTAACAAAACAAGCCAATGAATTGAATGTAACATGTTCATAAACAACTTTATTTCTTGTTGACTTTTCCTGAGAATCTACTGACAATTTATTTTGAAAACATTAAACATCATCAGTAAATGGCAATAAGACAGAAATTGTTGGAAGATATTTTTTTCAATAAAACTTTTGAATATTTTACAAATATCAACATAAAACTGATTCACCACATAATCTGCATGAGATTAGGATCAAGAGTAAGTGAAGAATCCCTTCATGTTCCACAATTTCACATTCAAATATTGCTTTACATATCAAACAAACACAATCGTGTTTGTTTTTTTAACAATAAATACAAAAGGAAATATTCCTAGTCGTCCGGGGGCGTGGCCCTCAATCAAACAACGCTCCTAGTCGTTAGGGGGCGTGGCCCTCAATCAAACAACCCTTTTGATATAAATATCTTGTCTCACGAGACACAGCATGTTTCTCTTATACAGACACTACTGTCTATCATAGACCAATGTCAAACAGTTCATAAATAAATACTAACAAAGAGTAAAATTATTTTATATTTTACCATTATTCATCATAATAAAATGTACAAACATTATGTACTCCAATGTGCACCACAAACCATTTTTTAAATTCCAATCCAAAGTGAGAAGGTTTACAAAATTATTCACAAATAGAATTAATTGATTTCACATATGAACTACTTCTATTGCTGTACTTTAGATCTTGAAATAAAAGTTACGATTTCTGCCAGACAAAAAATGTCATCAATAAGCCCATGTCTGGTAATAATCCCATGTCTAGTAATAAGCCCATATATCCAGTAATAAGCCCATGTATCCAGTCATAAGCCCATGTCTGATAATAAGCCCATATATCCAGTAATAAGCCCATATATCCAGTAATAAGCCTGTGTATCCAGTAATAAGCCCAGTTCTGGTAATAAGCCCACCATGTTTATAGTAGAAATCACAAAAGATACATTAGAATTAACTTGTAATGGTGAAGAGTTTGCTTTTACTCCATGATTCTCTTTTTTGCCGTTAAACCAAAAAGGGAATATTTTTTGAGAAAGCCATCAAATGGGCTATTTTATTTTTCTGTTAATTACATATTTTTGAGGGTCCTTTTTTTTTGGTTACATCTTTTTTTACTTAAAAATAGTGGAAACACATTGTTTTGAAAATAACAACCTTTTTATTAAGCTCTACCTCCCCCATCCTCCAACCTATGTAGCACCCCATCCCCACCCCCATCCCCGCCCCAATCCCCTCTTCCAATCCTGTGAAGCACCTGATCCCCTCCTTCTACCCACCTTTCAGAGGTAATGTTCAGAATCCCTAGGCTTGTTACAAAATAAACATAAGTATAATCAAGGTGATGACATCTTCCTAAATGTTAAAGTTGTTTGTCCAAAGCTACCATGTTTGTAGTAGAAATCACAAACTACTGATAAAAACATAATATCAAAGATGAGAGTGAACACTGTACTGTTTCAACAGTCATGTGACCACTAGTTTGGGGTCATTCAGAGAGGTCACTTGAGGAGAGAACTGACCACAGCCTTAGCATTAAGGTTACGTAGATCTGTGTATGTCTGTCCAGTGCCTACAAACACAATGGGTTGACCGGTGGTGTATGTCATGGAAATAGCCGCTCCAACCTAAAATCAGACAAAATTACATCATTTAAAAACTGAAATTCACATCATATAGGATGAAAAGGTATCCTTAAACATCAACAAAATAATAGATGTATGAATTTTGTTTTTTTGTGAGAAGAAAATTAACCTATCGTTTAACATAAAATGGTAGTAATTTTTATTCATAGTTTAAGCCTAATACATCCTTTCACAGGTAAAACCTTTCATGGATGTCACATGATGATACAAAAATTCTTTAATATGAAATCTTTTTTATTGTATTTTATTTCATATTTGTTGTTTGTCCATAGACAAAAAAAATCAAAAAAATCCGCACAACAAATATTTCACGTTAATAGTAAACATCTAATTATTTTATATTTGGTTTTGTCTACAGATACAAATACATCAAAATATTTCTACACAACAAATATTTCATGTTAAAAAGTATACATCTAACTATTATATATTTGGTTTTGTCTTTAGACACAAAAAAATGCAATATTTTCTACACAACAAACATTTCTTGTTAAAAAGTAAGTGTCTATTTAATAGCAAGGGAGGTAATCCCTCCCCCAGTTTTACTCACCTTGTCATCAATTGTATCAAACTTAGTAAGAATGATGCCGTCAATGACACGAGGGATATCACTACTGGAGTGATCAATGAGTGCCTTGTTAAACTTGGTCAGCTGATCTACAGCCTCATTTCCAACCAAAGCCTCACCTACAAACAGAACCAGATCCGGCTGGTTCACTCGGATTAACTGAAAGTAGAAAATTGATGTGTTATATGAAAATTACAAATATATTTGTATGAGAACATTAGGAGACTAGTCTATAACCTTTACCTTAGTCTCACCTGTGTTTCCTTACCAGAGAAGAATCTCAAAAAGTTCTCATCTCTCCCCTTTTCTCTCATCTTTGATAAATCTCTCATCTCTCACACCTTTTCTTACCTCAGATAAATCTCTCATCTCTCCCACTTTTTCTTACCTTAGATAAATCTCTCATCTCTCCCACCTTTTCATACCTTAGATAAAGTTCTCATCTCTCCGACTTTTTCTTACCTTAGATAAAGTTCTCATCTCTCCCACTTTTTCTTACCTTAGATAAAGTTCTCATCTCTCCGACTTTTTCTTACCTTAGATAAAGTTCTCATCTCTCCGACTTTTTCTTACCTTAGATAAATCTCTCGTCTCTCCCACTTTTTCTTACCTTAGATAAAGCTCTCATTAGAGGCTCATTGTCCTGCATACGTCCAGCGGTGTCTATCAGAACAATGTCAATGTGGTAGTCTCGTGCTGACAATACAAACATATCATTATATACTTAATTTCACAAGAAATTACAACCTATATAAAATGTATCGTTATGATCAGAATCTCATGTACAGAAATTTTAGTACTACAAATACAGAGAGATCAGTTAAAAATCCATTTCATTTTCAAGGGAATAAAACAGACATCTTTTATGGAAACAAAAACACAGACTATTAACTAATAAACATATACTGACACTGTCACTACTAAATGTATAATAATTAATAAATAGCATAATTAATGGTTTCTCCCCTTTATACCATAATTAATGGTTTCACCCCTATATACCATAATTAATGGTTTCTCCCCTATATACCATAATTAATGGTTCTCCCCTATATACCATAATTAATGGTTTCACCCCTATATACCATAATTAATGGTTTCACCCTTACATACCATAATTAATGGCTTCCATAGCTATGCCAGCAGCATCCTTGCCATAGCCTTTTTCATACAGCTTCACCATGTGCTGGCCATCAGAATGTACGTTGGGATGAAGTGCATTCAGTTTACGTGTATGTGTCCTCAACTGTTCCACAGCGCCCGCACGGAATGTATCACATGCCGCGATCAGAACACGAAACCCATTCTCAACCAACCAGAAACAAATCTACCAACCAAAAAGGTTTCATCATCAAATTTCTATCTACCTTCTGTATAATAATGTATCATGTATGACATGAAGATTCATGAAGCAAGTGTGAAATTTTTTTTCTTGTTCTGAACTTCTAATGAGGCAGAATGAAATACTTGTGGCCCTTTTTTTAATCTCATATCAAATGGATATAAATGTTTAATACTGTTTATCACTTAAGATTCTTTGGCAAACATTCAGCTGCTACAGAAAGCAGTTTAGAGTGGGTCTTTTCCATCATGCATAGTTACATGGTAATATGACAGAATAACACCTCTGTATTGTTCATTAGAATTCTCACCATGGTGATATGACAGAACGACACCTCTGTATTGTTCATTAGAATTCTCACCATGGTGATATGACAGAACAACACCTCTGTATTGTTCATTAGAATTCTCACCATGGTGATATGACAGAACAACACCTCTGTATTGTTCATTAGAATTCTCACCATGGTGATATGACAGAACAACACCTCTGTATTGTTCATTAGAATTCTCACCATGGTGATATGACAGAACGACGCCTCTATTGTTCATTAGAATTCTCACCATGGTGATATGACAGAACGACGCCTCTGTATTGTACATTAGAATTCTCACCATGGTGATATGACAGAACGATGCCTCTGTATTGTTCATTAGAATTCTCACCATGGTGATATGACAGAACAACACCTCTGTATTGTTCATTAGAATTCTCACCATGGTGATATGACAGAATGACACCTCTGTATTGTTCATTAGAATTCTCACCATGGTGATATGACAGAATGACACCTCTGTATTGTTCATTAGAATTCTCACCATGGTGATATGACAGAAGGACGCCTCTGTATTGTACATTAGAATTCTCACCATGGTGATATGACAGAACGACGCCTCTGTATTGTACATTAGAATTCTCACCATGGTGATATGACAGAAGGACGCCTCTGTATTGTTCATTAGAATTCTCACCATGGTGATATGACAGAACGACGCCTCTGTATTGTTCATTAGAATTCTCACCATGGTGATATGACAGAACAACACCTCTGTATTGTTCATTAGAATTCTCACCATGGTGATATGACAGAACAACGCCTCTGTATTGTACATTAGAATTCTCACCTTAGCCAGATTAGTTGACTTTCCGACACCGTTTACCCCACAGAAGGTGATGGTATAGGGTCTCTTCTGCTGTTTGGCCTCCATAGCATCACGAAGAATGTCTATACGTCGTTTTGGCAGTAAAATCTGCACACAAGACTCATTCAGAGCCGTTTTCACAGTGTGGGCAATAGCTGTAACAGAGATCAAATGTAATTATGTTTACTCACAAACTCTGGTGAAGTATTAGGTGAAGTCTATGCTCTGTCCATTGATCTTAATCTTGTCCAGACTAATCACAAAAACTACGAGATGCATCAACATTATACTGCATAGGTAGATAGGTACTGATAAGGAGAAGAGCAGTGTACCAGAACCATCACTCTCTTTTGAATAATTAAGAAGTGCATGAAACTTGGTGTATGCATTGTTAATATTAACAGAATGTGCAATACACCAAATTCAGGGCATGTAACTTCTTAATTACAGAAGTATTTTTGTGTCCAATAAAATCATTTTTGGGAGCATTCATCAGTCACATTGATTCTCTTGTCTAATATCAATCTCAAAACACATGTCAAAAAAATGCTTCCGTGTGAAAAACAAATAAACGTGATTAACAACAGAATCTGTACAATGCATGTAAAAAATTTTAAGGCTAAATGACAATTTTCAAAGACGGCAAGGACACTTCCCAAAAACGTTCCAAATCTCATGGTTTTAACTCATTAAGAGTCCCAATAGGCCTGTGTCTTTACTGTTCTGTAGCCCATAAAGTGATGAACCAAAAAACCTTAGTTAGAAATAGGTCAAATTAAAGGGAAAACATTAAACTTACTGTTAAAAGTTCCCAACACTCGTCCTTCGAGTTTTGCTGCTACAGAATCACAAAGCTTTGCAGCAATATCAGAGGCTACATTTTTGGCTGAAATAAACAAATAGATAAATAAATAAATAAATAAATAAATAAATATTAGCACTATATCAGAGATAACATCAACTCTATTCTGGTAAGAAAGGAGAGAAGTGAGCAATTCATAACAAAAACTAATTAAATCATAATATTTGCTGTTCAAGTCAATTTTCAATATATCTTTGCTATTTCAATACAATACGCTATTTTACAAAAGATCCCGGAGAAAACTTTGTGTCAAACATTGTATGATATTAAATAGGTCTGTTCCTTCTTTTCTCTTAATTTTGTTGTGTTAAATGTATGTTTGTAAGCAAAAGTTCCTTCAAGAAAAAGCAAACATTTTACCTGGGATGTTTCCCATTTTTCTCCCAAAGAACAATGAATAACAAAAGACAATGGGAAACCTTACTACGAGTATGATCCATCCAGAACTTCTCAAGAAAAGATGATCGAAAAATTTCAAAATCAAAGATGGCAGTGTATTTATTCGCAATCTAGTTTTCCTGATAAATCCCTAAATAGACAAGGCCCCTGATTTACAACACAGGACTATCATAAATTGAGATGATTCTACTGAGAATTCTGACAGAAACCTTACCTACAAGATGCTCCCTCATTTTATCAAGGGCAGTGTCCAGATCTTCTTTGGTGAGGGTTTTTGATCCGATCAGATTCTTAAACATACTGAACATCCCAGATCCACCAGACTTTGTACTACCTCTGAGCAACAGAAAATATTTGTCAATGAATATCAACATCCATTATCATCTCCTGCTTCAAGGGAAAATGACAACTGAAAAGATAACTAAGCTTTCAGACATTTTGGTCAAATAATTACAAAAGTATTAGAAATCTCAATATTTCAAATCACAATCAAACTACACAGCACACAACACACTGAGGAAAACATCATATGAAGCAGAACCACAGATAATATAAAGTCTGGTCTCCTTAATGTGTGATAAAAGGATAAACAGACAGATGGACAGACAGCGCAACAGAGAGAAGGACAGACAGACAGAGACAGAAGAACAGACATACAGAACATGACATATCCCTGTCATTACAAGGAAACAAAAAAGAGATTTGATAACTTTGAAAAAGTCCTTGTAATTTCACAGCTACTAATTGAACTTCTCAAGTCCATTGACACTGGTGACAGAATATTGGGGTAGGAGATCTCACTTACTTTGTATAGGAGATAACACTTACTCTGTGTAGGAGATAACACTTACTCTGTGTAGGAGATAACACTTACTCTGTGTAGGAGATAACACTTACTCTGTGTAGGAGATAACACTTACTCTGTGTAGGAGATAACACTTACTCTGTGTAGGAGATAACACTTACTCTGTGTAGGAGATAACACTTACTCTGTGTAGAAGATAACATTTACTGTGTGTAGGAGATAACACTCTGTGTAGGAGATAACACTTACTCTGTGTAGGAGATAACACTTACTCTGTGTAGGAGATAACACTTACTCTGTGTAGGAGATAACACTTACTCTGTGTAGGAGATAACACTTACTCTGTGTAGGAGATAACACTTACTCTGTGTAGGAGATAACACTTACTCTGTGTAGGAGATAACACTTACTCTGTGTAGATCTCGCTTACTCTGTGTAGGAGATAACACTCTGTGTAGGAGATAACACTTACTCTGTGTAGGAGATAACACTTACTCTGTGTAGGAGATAACACTTACTGTGTGTAGGAGATAACACTTACTCTGTGTAGGAGATAACACTTACTCTGTGTAGGAGATAACACTTACTCTGTGTAGGAGATAACACTTACTCTGTGTAGGAGATAACACTTACTGTGTGTAGGAGATAACACTTACTCTGTGTAGGAGATAACACTTACTCTGTGTAGGAGATAACACTTACTCTGTGTAGGAGATAACACTTACTCTGTGTAGGAGATAACACTTACTCTGTGTAGGAGATAACACTTACTGTGTGTAGGAGATAACACTTACTGTGTGTAGGAGATAACACTTACTCTGTGTAGGAGATAACACTTACTCTGTGTAGGAGATAACACTTACTCTGTGTAGGAGATAACACTTACTCTGTGTAGGAGATAACACTTACTGTGTGTAGGAGATAACACTTACTGTGTGTAGGAGATAACACTTACTGTGTGTAGGAGATAACACTTACTCTGTGTAGGAGATAACACTTACTCTGTGTAGGAGATAACACTTACTCTGTGTAGGAGATAACACTTACTCTGTGTAGGAGATAACACTTACTCTGTGTAGGAGATAACACTTACTCTGTGTAGGAGATAACACTTACTCTGTGTAGGAGATAACACTTACTGTGTGTAGGAGATAACACTTACTCTGTGTAGGAGATAACACTTACTCTGTGTAGGAGATAACACTTACTCTGTGTAGGAGATAACACTTACTGTGTGTAGGAGATAACACTTACTCTGTGTAGGAGATAACACTTACTCTGTGTAGGAGATAACACTTACTGTGTGTAGGAGATAACACTTACTCTGTGTAGGAGATAACACTTACTCTGTGTAGGAGATAACACTTACTCTGTGTAGGAGATAACACTTACTCTGTGTAGGAGATAACACTTACTCTGTGTAGGAGATAACACTTACTCTGTGTAGGAGATAACACACTCTGTGTAGGAGATAACACTTACTCTGTGTAGGAGATAACACTTACTCTGTGTAGGAGATAACACTTACTCTGTGTAGGAGATACACACTCTGTGTAGGAGATAACACTTACTGTGTGTAGGAGATAACACTTACTCTGTGTGTACTCTGTGTAGGAGATAACACTTACTCTGTGTAGGAGATAACACTTACTCTGTGTAGGAGATAACACTTACTCTGTGTAGGAGATAACACTTACTCTGTGTAGGAGATAACACTTACTCTGTGTAGGAGATAACACTTACTGTGTGTAGGAGATAACACTTACTCTGTGTAGGAGATAACATTTACTCTGTGTAGGAGATAACACTTACTCTGTGTAGGAGATAACACTTACTGTGTGTAGGAGATAACACTTACTCTGTGTAGGAGATAACACTTACTTTGAGTAGGAGATAACACTTACTCCGTGTAGGAGATAACACTTACTGTGTGTATGAGATAACACTTACTCTGTGTAGGAGATAACACTTACTGTGTGTAGGAGATAACACTTACTCTGTGTAGGAGATAACACTTACTCTGTGTAGGAGATAACACTTACTCTGTGTAGGAGATAACACTTACTCTGTGTAGGAGATAACACTTACTCTGTGTAGGAGATAACACTTACTGTGTGTAGGAGATAACACTTACTCTGTGTAGGAGATAACACTTACTCTGTGTAGGAGATAACACTTACTCTGTGTAGGAGATAACACTTACTCTGTGTAGGAGATAACACTTACTCAGTGTAGGAGATAACACTTACCCTGTGTAGGAGATAACACTTACTGTGTGTAGGAGATTACACTTACTCTGTGTAGGAGATAACACTTACTGTGTGTAGGAGATAACACTTACTCTGTGTAGGAGATAACACTTACTCTGTGTAGGAGATAACACTTACTGTGTGTAGGAGATAACACTTACTCTGTGTAGGAGATAACACTTACTGTGTGTAGGAGATAACACTTACTCTGTGTAGGAGATAACACTTACTCTGTGTAGGAGATAACACTTACTCTGTGTAGGAGATAACACTTACTGTGTGTAGGAGATAACACTTACTCTGTGTAGGAGATAACACTTACTCTGTGTAGGAGATAACACTTACTCTGTGTAGGAGATAACACTTACTCTGTGTAGGAGATAACACTTACTCTGTGTAGGAGATAACACTTACTCTGTGTAGGAGATAACACTTACTCTGTGTAGGAGATAACACTTACTCTGTGTAGGAGATAACACTTACTCTGTGTAGGAGATAACACTTACTCTGTGTAGGAGATAACACTTACTCTGTGTAGGAGATAACACTTACTGTGTGTAGGAGATAACACTTACTGTGTGTAGGAGATAACACTTACTCTGTGTAGGAGATAACACTTACTCTGTGTAGGAGATAACACTTACTCTGTGTAGGAGATAACACTTACTCTGTGTAGGAGATAACACTTACTCTGTGTAGGAGATAACACTTACTCTGTGTAGGAGATAACACTTACTCTGTGTAGGAGATAACACTTACTCTGTGTAGGAGATAACACTTACTCTGTGTAGGAGATAACACTTACTCTGTGTAGGAGATAACACTTACTCTGTGTAGGAGATAACACTTACTGTGTGTAGGAGATAACACTTACTCTGTGTAGGAGATAACACTTACTCTGTGTAGATCTCACTTACTCTGTGTAGGAGATAACACTTACTCTGTGTAGGAGATAACACTTACTCTGTGTAGGAGATAACACTTACTGTGTGTAGGAGATTACACTTACTCTGTGTAGGAGATTACACTTACTCTGTGTAGGAGATAACACTTACTCTGTGTAGGAGATAACACTTACTCTGTGTAGGAGATAACACTTACTCTGTGTAGGAGATAACACTTACTCTGTGTAGGAGATAACACTTACTCTGTGTAGGAGATAACACTTACTCTGTGTAGGAGATAACACTTACTCTGTGTAGGAGATAACACTTACTCTGTGTAGGAGATAACACTTACTCTGTGTAGGAGATAACACTTACTGTGTGTAGGAGATAACACTTACTCTGTGTAGGAGATAACACTTACTTTGAGTTTACTTTAGATGATGTCTGGTTCAGCTCCTCCTCGTAGTTGATCTCCTCTTCCACTTCATCCTCCTCAATGTCCTTGATACTTCCCTTCATGGACCCCACCAGGGACCGCTGTTGTATAACAATTAAGGGATTACCTACTACTTTTAAATCATGAACTCTTTTGAACATTTTACAATTATTATAACACAGAACCACACCAATCACCTACAGCCTATTAGTTGGTAGTATTTAAGCTAACTCTGACAGTTTACTTCCAACATTGAGACATGAAGACAGGATACAAAAGGCTTATCCATCACCTGTCATTGAAATTGAACACAAAGACTTTAAATTCCATCATTAATAGGGAGACACACATAATATTACAGCCTGATAAGTCGCCTCACCTCAGCCATTGTTGGCACGACTTCTTCGTCTGGAATCTTGCTACTGTCGCCGTTGGCATTGCTAAAGTCCAGATTCTTCATATCCTTGTTAGTACCAGCCCCTTCCCAAACACGACCAACTTTTCCTTTCTTTTTCCCCTCTGGAGTGTTGGTTTTAGGGCTGCAGCAAAAAGAAATTCAAAAAATGACAGAGGTTCATGTAAAGATATCAGAATCCATTCATAAAGCATTTTCTGAGTATATCTACTCATCAACAGACTCTAAATAAAATTTAAGGTTTAAAGATATCTGATGCTTATATCTTTGAAAATAGGTCAAGGTCACTCCCTTGAACAAAAACCTTTCATTAAAGCATGTTACTGGGAAAATATAAAGATCCTTGGTTTGTGTGTTATAGAAAGAAATCATGAAAATTACAGATACAAAGAAGTTGTTTGAAGATTTTGATGCATTTGGCTCCTGTGACCTTGAAAAGGAGTCAAGGTAGTTTAATTGAACAAACTTGAAAGCCTTTCATCCCAAATTGTTTCAGGCCTAATACCTTGAGTCTACGTTTCTAGGTTAATGAGAGGAAGTTGTTTAATTTTAAGAGTTAACCCTACAATTACCTGGTCTTTGGTTTCTTGCCACCTTGCATTTTCTCAAAGAATTTTTCCCTGTTCTTTCTCAGTGTTTCTTCATCCAGTGTCCCATTGGTGACAGGAGCTGTTTCTTGTGCTATCTCTGGTTCTTTAATAGTAACAGCTGTATAAAAAATACTTACAACATTAACAGTTGAAAGAAACAGTGAACGAATTTAGTCAAATGAAATGAAAGATCTATTTATCACATCAGAAGAGGTTGCATAAATTGTTTAATGATCGACCCACTGTGTGACTTAAACACATAATTTCTCCTTGAAAAAGGTTGTACGATAGACACTAGACACTGAGTGATTTAAACACATAATTTCTCCTTGATAAAGGTTGTATGATGCAATTATACTGATTATTTAGAATGCATGTTTCTAATACAAATTCCTGTTAAAAAATGACCTGAGTGAGTTTTTTTGTTGTTTTTTAGCGTTCTATTTTTAGGTAAGATGTCCACTTACTTTTTACAGGTTGGTTTTCTTTCCCTTTGGCCTTGCTTGACTTCTTCTCTTCATTTTTTTTCTCAACCATTGATGATATAGTTTTTTGAGATTTTTTAGAATCCTCAAATCTTCTCATAGGTCTGTTAGAAAAAAATGAGCAAAAGTGTTTAACGATTATTTTAACTAAACGAGAGGTCCCAAAGTTCTTATTAATCATCAGACAAAAAACGAGGTCAAAAACATTTTTAAGGCTAAAAGCTTTTTACAAACACCCCATTGTAACTAAAAACTTTAAACTGACATCTTTTTATGGCTAAAAGCTAAAATCTTCAAACTGACACCCTTTTGTATTAAAAAACTTTCTGAGACCAGCAACTGTCGAATGTCCACCATAGGCCTCAAACTGTGACCCAGAGGTGGAGGTTAGTGATAAAGAAACCACCTGAGACCAGCACCTGTCGAATGTCCACCATAGGCCTCAAACTGTGACCCAGAGGTGGAGGTTAGTGATAAAGAAACCACCTGAGACCAGCACCTGTCGAATGTCCACCATAGGCTTCAAACTGTGACCCAGAGGTGGAGGTTAGTGATAAAGAAACCACCTGAGACCAGCACCTGTCGAATGTCCACCATAGGCCTCAAACTGTGACCCAGAGGTGGAGGTTATTGATAAAGAAACCACCTGAGACCAGCACCTGTCCATTGTCCACCATAGGCCTCAAACTGTGACCCAGAGGTGGAGGTTAGTGATAAAGAAACCACCTGAGACCAGCACCTGTCGAATGTCCACCATAGGCCTCAAACTGTGACCCAGAGGTGGAGGTTAGTGATAAAGAAACCACCTGAGACCAGCACCTGTCGAATGTCCATCATAGGCCACAAACTGTGACCCAGAGGTGGAGGTTATTGATAAAGAAACTACCTGAGACCAGCACCTGTCGAATGTCCACCATAGGCCTCAAACTGTGACCCAGAGGTGGAGGTTAGTGATAAAGAAACCACCTGAGACCAGCACCTGTCCATTGTCCACCATAGGCCTCAAACTGTGACCAAGAGGTGGAGGTTAGTGATAAAGAAACCACCTGAGACCAGCACCTGTCCATTGTCCACCATAGGCCTCAAACTGTGACCCAGAGGTGGAGGTTATTGATAAAGAAACTACCTGAGACCAGAACCTGTCCATTGTCCACCATAGGCCTCAAACTGTGACCCAGAGGTGGAGGTTAGTGATAAAGAAACCACCTGAGACCAGCACCTGTCGAATGTCCACCATAGGCCTCAAACTGTGACCCAGAGGTGGAGGTTAGTGATAAAGAAACCACCTGAGACCAGCACCTGTCGAATGTCCACCATAGGCCTCAAACTGTGACCCAGAGGTGGAGGTTATTGATAAAGAAACTACCTGAGACCAGAACCTGTCCATTGTCCACCATAGGCCTCAAACTGTGACCCAGAGGTGGAGGTTAGTGATAAAGAAACCACCTGAGACCAGCACCTGTCCACTGTCCACCATAGGCCTCAAACTGTGACCCAGAGGTGGAGGTTAGTGATAAAGAAACCACCTGAGACCAGCACCTGTCCACTCTCCACCATAGGCCTCAAACTGTGACCCAGAGGTGGAGGTTAGTGATAAAGAAACCACCTGAGACCAGCACCTGTCCATTGTCCACCATAGGCCTCAAACTGTGACCCAGAGGTGGAGGTTAGTGATAAAGAAACCACCTGAGACCAGCACCTGTCGAATGTCCACCATAGGCCTCAAACTGTGACCCAGAGGTGGAGGTTATTGATAAAGAAACTACCTGAGACCAGCACCTGTCCACTGTCCACCATAGGCCTCAAACTGTGACCCAGAGGTGGAGGTTAGTGATAAAGAAACCACCTGAGACCAGCACCTGTCGAATGTCCACCATAGGCCTCAAACTGTGACCCAGAGGTGGAGGTTAGTGATAAAGAAACCACCTGAGACCAGCACCTGTCCAATGTCCACCATAGGCATCAAACTGTGACCCAGAGGTGGAGGTTAGTGATAAAGAAACCACCTGAGACCAGCACCTGTCGAATGTCCACCATAGGCCTCAAACTGTGACCCAGAGGTGGAGGTTAGTGATAAAGAAACCACCTGAGACCAGCACCTGTCGAATGTCCACCATAGGCCTCAAACTGTGACCCAGAGGTGGAGGTTATTGATAAAGAAACTACCTGAGACCAGAACCTGTCCATTGTCCACCATAGGCCTCAAACTGTGACCCAGAGGTGGAGGTTATTGATAAAGAAACCACCTGAGACCAGCACCTGTTGAATGTCCACCATAGGCCTCAAACTGTGACCCAGAGGTGGAGGTTAGTGATAAAGAAACCACCTGAGACCAGCACCTGTCCACTCTCCACCATAGGCCTCAAACTGTGACCCAGAGGTGGAGGTTAGTGATTAAGAAACCACCTGAGACCAGAACCTGTCCATTGTCCACCATAGGCCTCAAACTGTGACCAAGAGGTGGAGGTTAGTGATAAAGAAACCACCTGAGACCAGCACCTGTCGAATGTCCACCATAGGCCTCAAACTGTGACCCAGAGGTGGAGGTTAGTGATCAAGAAACCACCTGAGACCAGCACCCGTCCACTGTCCACCATAGGCCTCAAACTGTGACCCAGAGGTGGAGGTTAGTGATAAAGAAACCACCTGAGACCAGCACCTGTCGAATGTCCACCATAGGCCTCAAACTGTGACCCAGAGGTGGAGGTTAGTGATCAAGAAACCACCTGAGACCAGCACCTGTCGAATGTCCACCATAGGCCTCAAACTGTGACCCATGGCCCTTTCTTTACTGGTCATTTACCAACTATACATACTATCACACACTTCAGCTTTCAGTTATTTGACTTATATTTGTTATAAAAAGTGTATTGATATGGGAGGGTCTTTTACAGAAAAATCACTAATTATTGTGGGAGATTATGAATGTTTTATGCATTGATGTCATAGTAACCCATTAATTCTTGTCAATGAATTGTTATATATAGTATAAATATATTCAATGAGCTAAATTTATCCATGAAATCAACTGTCCACAAAATAGTGATTTCTTTAAAAAAAAACAAAAAAAAAAAAACATGAAAATTGAGCCCCACTGTAATACATGATATAACAGTATACCAACACTCCTAGATTTGACTATCTAATCAAACTTACCTTCCAACTTTCTCCACACGACTCTCCTCCTCAGACTGTTTCAACATGCGGTGAAAATCAGCACTGAAGTCTAAATTCCGCGACATCTTGCCGTTCTGGATATCATCTTTGTACTTGTTACGAAACTCCAACTGGATATCACTCAGAAACTTATCAATGTATGATAACTGTAGTATTTTTTGGTAACCCACCTAAAATACCAAACAAAAAATTCAATGTATAATTAATCTCTTCAACAGATGCTAGTCCTAAACAATCAATCAGACCTCAATTTTTTAAAAGAAGTTTACCGGCAAAACTGATGACTGCACCACAAAAATAGTTTTACTGGAAACAAAATGTTATTAAAGGGTAATTTTAACTGGGGGGTTTGGGGCCCTGAAGATGGTATAATGCACATTGTCTTAGTATGAGCCATATATACACTAAGTGTGTTATATTTGTTTAAATGCAAGCAAAGTTATGCTCCAGACAGTGAATTTTATCAAAGGGCAACAACTATGTAAATGAGGGTTTCGGTCCTGAATTTGGCACAATGCACATGGTCTTTGTTTTTTAGTACTACCAATGTATACATTTAATTTAAGGATCCTTGTTTAACTGTGGGTAAAGTCATGTTCCATACAGAAAAGGAAAGACCAACAATCAAATGGATGGATGACAAGCAGAAAGTGGCAACTATATCCTCTCCGGAAAATTTTCAGGGAAAAGGATGTCACTGTAACTGAGTAGTCACAATATATATATCAAGATGCCTGCATTTTAATATCCAGGACAATGTTAACATAAAGTTATTTTTCTGAACATGACATCCCTCATCACCTTTCATTTTGTTAAATACCGGTCATGTATGACACCACATATTCTGTAAGACAATTTTACACAAATTTTTGGTGACAGGGATGATAAGTAGGAGTGAAGGGAAGGGTTGATAGGAGTTGGTAAGCCGTTGGGAGAGTGTGAAACATATGTTTTCAAATATATCTTGAATTCATTACATAATGTCTGTATATAGAGAGATATACATGTATTTTTCTAACTTTTCTATGTTATCTTCAAAATATTATACAGATTTTTCAGAATGATAATATTCAACATATGTAACATTGAATTATTGGTAATAATTCAACTTACTACAAACACCATCTCATTCAACTTTCCATAAACACCATCTCATTAAGTTACTACAAATACCATATCATTTTACTTACTGCAAACACCATTTCATTCAACTTACCACAAACACCATCTCAAACTCATTGTCAAGTTTATATTTCAACGTCAGAGCATCGTGTGTGAAGGAGTTGTTACCACTTCTCTCCTGTAATAATATATATGAAGAAGAAATTAATCACAGCATACTCATGTATTACAAGTGAGTGGGTTTTAATCTGTCTACTAGTTTCAACTCTATCACAAAGACTTCCTCCTCAAAAACATTCTCCAGTTACTAACCATTACAATGATAATGTATATGACACTTTCATCTTGTATTATAACTTGAGATTAAATAAGGAAACACAAAGACAAACGAAAACAGAAATGAATATTTCACTTAAGTTTTGATTAATTATGTCTGAAATGTGAAGTGCAGGCAAACTGGTATATCTGCGTAAACCAATTACATCCAACGTCTAAACGTGATCATCACTGAATAAGTATACTATCATTGACCGATTAATCAATCTATCAATAGGTCATACAGATTTCTATGCTTTGGCATCGAAATGATAAAAACCATACAGACCGAAAACTTTTGTAACGTATGTTTAAAGTTAACAAGTTAGTCTGTGATGCCTGTTGATATGATCGTTAACATATGTTTGTTGACACGTGTGATGTACATTAATCGATTTCTCGCACCTGTAAGAGGACGGTCTTGATCAAGGAGTTGATAGATGGTGTAAAAAGTTGGGAGGTTCCTTGGAAATACCAAAGGACTAGACCACCTTTGCTGAAAATAGCGAAGAAGTCCAACATCGTCTCTCGCGTCAAAATTCCAAATGTTGTTCTGCTAAATGACAGGAAGTACTTATTTCATCACCGGATGTAGGTTATTTTCAAGCGTGATTTTACGAAGTTACCCGAACACATCCCCGAGTAATTTCATTGGTTCACAAAATGACGCGTAGTTAATCCACTATGGTCTCAAACTTACTACGCTGACAACATAGACCCTTAAATATTCCTCTTTTAATCTTTTAAATACCCATCCCTCATATTTAGTGCTATGATGGAAATCAAAACTACATTATACTCTCGAAAGTATAATGTTTATTAAAAATGAATTTCTAAAAATGTCCCAAAAACAAATAACGCTGCGACAATGTATCCCTGCGCTTTGACGTTTTGCAGCAAGATCAGCCATCTTTGTCACATGTTCATTTTCCCATCTCACATGACCTGTTGTTTGGCCCCGTGATCAAGCTTGCATTATTTCCTGGCAAATTCAAACATCCATCAAAAAGCCACATGGATATGCTAGACGATGCCTTGGAAGCAAGGTTGGTGAGAAATTACATGAAAACCAGGCGATATGTGATTGAAAACAGCACTGTTACCGAGTTGACACTGAGTAAAATCGTTGATTGGGCGTTCTTAACGGGACATACCTATGTTGGATAGGATTGAACCATAACATCGTACAGCCAGCTGGCTGTCAAAATCAACCTCATGGATCATTTTGCTAGTCATGTGATTTCCATACTGGTGTAAAAAAAAAATGACTCGGAATGCAAGATATTGGGGGGGAAAGGCGATTGTTTCCTGGTTGAGTTACGTGTATCGGATATTTTCAGTAATTTAGGTCGTTGGAGTATGCGGTTTTGGATGTAAACAATATTAAGATATTATTTCATGAAGAGTTGGTTAAGGTAATTTGCCCTTCGTTAAAAATACTGATTACAGATAATTGAGGTGAGAAGTATTCCAAAGTTGTTGTTTTTTTTCAAAGTGCGAATATTGTATTTTAATAATCACATCTATGCCATACAGGAAACGTTTTCGAGTGTAAAGATTCCATGAATCCTGTTTATTTCATTGAAATTCATGAAACATACATTTTTGTGAATAGTTGATGGGACATACACAACAGTTATGATATGATGTTAGAGTGCTTATAATTATCATAGAAAATACAATGTAGGACATATTTTTTTAATGTGGCCAATTTTCAGCTAATTGCTAATTTTCAAGCTAAGCTAGAAGCTTATGATCCATCAGTAATTGAAAAAATCAGAGTGTCAATTGGTGTCCTATTAAACATGGATTGCAATTGGTTGATGCAAAGCAATATCAATCAAAACTATGAATTCTGTATTATGAAATTTACCTGTTGATATTATCTATTAATGTTATTCTGTTAATACCTTATACACATCTTGAAAACCTCATTATATTTTGCTATACACCATATAGCTATGTATGTAGGTGTCTTTCTGAAGAAGAAATGTCAAAATGTTGCCTGTTTGATGATTTAATATGTATAAGTGGGAAAGTGCTGAATATGTGAAGTGAAATTGCTTGATATATTAATGTAAAACAATTTCCCTTGCAGCCATGACAAAACAAATGATTCCACAGGCTCTGATGATGTTCAGCTGAGTGGACAAGGTACAAATCTGAATCACACCATAGATAAGTCTGTACCTGTATGGTATTTTCATAGGAGGAGAGATAATTTTACTTCCCTGTGGATCAATAAGCTTTTCATTGATTAACTTAAAGCAAAATATAATGTGTTGCATCGAAGTATTTGTTCATATGAATAAAAAGAAAATGACATTAGTTGTACCAAATATGAGTCAGGGCTCTCACACCCCATTTTGGGATTGGGGCCCGGAGCCCTTAGAATTGGGAAAAACAATGGTGTTTTCCTTAGAATTGGGAAAACTTGGAGTCTAAATTGGATAAAAAGATACTATTTTGCATTGGGAATCGGCCCCAAATCTGGCAGATCGAGAGCCTTGTGAGTTGTCTGCTTGCAGAAGTTAACATTTGTTGAGTGGTGAGATTTTCATCTTGATATTGCAAAATATCATAATTTGATGTATGTGTATATATATTCAGAAATTGTTGCTCATTGGTTATGATTTTATTTTGATTGACAGGTGAATCTCCTGACAGCCAGGCTATGGCTTCAGTCCAACAGGGTGCAACATTAAGTTTGGATCCCAACATACAGTACCAATTCCGAACAGAAACTGGTAAGACAGTGAGACCACTTAAAAGTCTCTGACCATTAAACATTTGTAGCTTCAGTAGGAAGAAGAGTTGAGGTGGGAGGGGGGGGAGTAAACTGTTAAAAGTAATGACAGTAATTACCGTCTGTAGTTCTGTATGAAGGAGGTCACCACTAAACATTGGTAACCTCCGTAGGAAGAAGAGTGGAAAAGTGGGGGGGTAGTAAAATGTTGAAAGTAATCACTGTCTGTAGTTTGTATACAGGAGTTCACCACTAAACATTTGTAACCTCAGTAGGAAGAAGCGGAGAGGGGGAGGGGGTTAGCTGTTGAAAGGCATCACTGTCTGTGTACAGGAGTTCACCTTAACACTAACACTAAATATTCAGAGGGGAGGGTTAACTCGCGGAAAGTAAACACTGTCTGTTTCTAGAAGTTCATCACTAAATATTCAGAGAAGGATGATAGGGGTTAACTGTTGGAAAGTAAGTACTGTCTGTGTGTAGGAGTTCACCACTAAACATAACCTTGATAGGAAGAGGAGAAGAGGTTAGACAGTTGAAAGTAATTGTTTTCTGTATACAGGAGTTTCTTTGTAAGAAAACTAGGTGCTAGAGAGAAAACTATGCTATTGATGAAAAAATATTCTGAAGAATACTGTGTGTACAAAATTAGTGACATGGAGACATTAAAACCTGGACAATTTTAAGTGCTGAAAGAAACATAACCTTGATATGTACAGTGGCAAGAGGAGACAAGAGTGGTTTAAAATATTTAAATGAACACTGTAATATATCATTGTTTTAAAGTAATTGTTTTTTGTGTTACAGGTCAGTGACTTTTCGTGTGGTACAAGTTGCTCAAGATGGTACAGAGGCAGCAGCTAGGTAACAACAAATGCTTTCCCACAAGGCTCACAGACCTGAAACTATGCTATTGATGAAAAAATATTCTGAAGAATACTCAGTGAAACGCTATACAAAATTAGTGACATGGTCTATAAACTGACATTAAAACCTGGACAATTTTAAGTGCTTTGAAAGAATTTATCATAGTTTTATGCTTTCTATGATATGTACAGTGGCATATTCTGACACTTCAGACACCATGCTAAGTGGTTTAAAATATTTAAATGAAGTCTTGCATACTATACTGTAATATATCATTGTTTTACTCATGTGGAGGGATAATGATGGCTGTTTTTGTGTTACAGGTCAGGTGACTTATCGTGTGGTACAAGTTGCTCAAGATGGTACAGAGGCAGCAGCTCAAGTCGTAACAACAAATGCTTTCCCACAAGGCTCACAGGTACTTAACCTGAAAATATAGACTTCTGACGAGAGCGGGACATTGGTCACCATTACAGAATATAGACTTACTGATGTGATGGACAGAAGGGGGGACATTGGTCACTATTACAGAATATAATCTTACTGATGTAATGGACCGAAGGGGGACATTGGTCAGTATTACAGAATATAGTCTTAGTGATGTAATGGACAGAAGGGGGGGTGAGCATTGGTCAGTATTACAGAATATAGTCTTACTGATGTAATGGACCGAAGGGGGACATTGGTCAGTATTACAGAATATAGTCTTACTGATGTAATGGACAGAATGGGGGGACATTGGTCAGTATTACAGAATATAGTCTTACTGATGTGATGGACAGAAGTATGGACATTGGTCAGTATTACAGAATATAGTCTTAGTGATGTAATGGACAGAAGGGGGGACATTGGTCAGTATTACAGAATATAGTCTTACTGATGTAATGGATAGAATGAGGGGACATTGGTCAGTATTACAGAATATAGTCTTAGTGATGTAATGGACAGAAGGGGGACATTGGTCAGTATTACAGAATATAGTCTTAGTGATGTAATGGACAGAATGGGGGGACATTGGTCAGTATTACAGAATATAGTCTTACTGATGTAATGGACAGAATGGGGGGACATTGGTCAGTATTACAGAATGTAGTCTTATTGATGTGATGGACAGAAGAGAGGGACATTGGTCAGTATTACAGAATATAGTCTTACTGATGTAATGGACAGAAGGGGGGGACATTGGTCAGTATTACAGAATATAGTCTTACTGATGTAATGGACAGAATGGGGGGACATTGGTCAGTATTACAGAATATAGTCTTACTGATGTAATGGACAGAATGAGGGGACATTGGTCAGTATTACAGAGTATAGACCTGAAGTCCATTTTCACAGAAGTTAATTAGGAAACCAAAGTGTTTACAGATGTACATTTTGAAGAAGTCTTTCCTACACAGTGCCCAGTTACAGTATTTAATGTAACAAACACCTCAACAGATTAGCATACAAATAGAATGATAGGAAGTAGGGCTATATCTATATTGTAAGTCCCTGCTCACTTGGGTTTTATTTGGCAGGCTGTGATACAGAGTCCATTCAGTAATGGAGGCAGTCCCACCCCTGAGAATCAGGCAGACACCAGGTACACATACTTCCCTACTGGGGCGGCAGACCAGACAGCGGCAGCACAACAGAACGAAGTGGCCACTGCATCTATAGGACAGGTGGCCACTGCCGGAGGTGAGACACAATCAACCAAATTCCAAAACAAATCAACTACAATACATTGACACCATGGTGTGGAATTTCTATTTTTTCTGTCATCTGTTTACCATCTGGACACACTATTTTTGACCTCAGTATACATAGGATTTTAAGTCCAGCCAAAATAGTTGGTCAGTTCTTTACCGTCTTGTATACTGTAAGTCAGTGCTAGTACGCTCCACACTGGTTATTTGTCTGATGAATGTGACCATGTAGTCATCAAAATGTCGCACTCTGATCTACTACTAAGAGCACCAACTCCTGAAGCCAGGTAGGGGAATAGTAGTAGAATATACTATTGACTTCCCAGGTTTCAGAAGTTGGTGCTCTTCTTTAAGAGATCTCTGTATACAGCTAGGTATTCTCCTGAAGCCTAGAAGATGAAGAGATCTCTGTGTACCACTAGGTAGCCTCCTGAAGCCTAGAAGATGAAGAGATCTCTGTGTACCACTAGGTAGCCTCCTGAAGTCTAGAAGATGAAGAGATCTCATGTGTACCACTAGGTAGCCTCCTGAAGTCTAGAAGATGAAGAGATCTCTTGTGTACCACTAGGTAGCCTCCTGAAGCCTAGAAGATGAAGAGATCTCTGTGTACCACTAGGTAGCCTCCTGAAGCCTAGAAGATGAAGAGATCTCTGTGTACCACTAGGTAGCCTCCTGAAGCCTAGAAGATGAAGAGATCTCTGTGTACCACTAGGTAGCCTCCTGAAGCCTAGAAGATGAAGAGATCTCTGTGTACCACTAGGTAGCCTCCTGAAGCCTAGAAGATGAAGAGATCTCTTGTGTACCACTAGGTAGCCTCCTGAAGCCTAGAAGATGAAGAGATCTCTGTGTACCACTAGGTAGCCTCCTGAAGCCTAGAAGATGAAGAGATCTCTGTGTACCACTAGGTAGCCTCCTGAAGCCTAGAAGATGAAGAGATCTCTGTGTACCACTAGGTAGCCTCCTGAAGCCTAGAAGATGAAGAGATCTTTGTTTACCACTAGGTAGCCTCCTGAAGTCTAGAAGATGAAGAGATCTCTATGTACCACTAGGTAGCCTCCTGAAGCCTAGAAGATGAAGAGATCTCTATGTACCACTAGGTAGCCTCCTGAAGCCTAGAAGATGAAGAGATTTCTGTGTACCACTAGTATCCTCCTGAAGCCTAGAAGATGAACCTCAACACACATATGAACTTAGCAGGTTGTTGTCTCTGGAAATTTCTTAAACTAAGATTTTGTCGGATTTCTTCTGGTGTTATAAGAAACTTTATTCCATTCAAATTAATTTCAGGTTCTGAACAAAAACACAAATAAATAAAACAAATATTCAATAATGAAGGCCAAGTTTAAAGTTTAATATAAAGGGATTGACATTAAATCATCAATTTATTCTTCCAAATGTGCCTTGGTTCCAAACCCAAAGTTCAAGGGAGATAAATCATGTTGGTTTTGAAACTCTTGTGGGATGGGAGAACAAACACAACTTCGGAAAAAATGGTGAAAGAAAACCAGAATAGACACAAGGTGGCCACATGGTTTGACCATTAGTGAGCATTGTTGTTGGTTTTCGTCAAGCTGACTAAAGGCATGTTTGTAATACATACAAATATGTTGTAGCAGACTTTCCATAAGCAAGTTTTGTTTTTGCCTTGATTTGAGGTAACGAGAAAATGATGTGAAATAAATGAGATATAATTAGTACTTCTCCCCGCTGCACTCCTTGTAAACCTCTAGTTAAATTTACAACTTTCCAGGTTTGAAATGTATGGCGATGTATTGATTTTTGTTTTGTTGTGAAACATCTGTATTTAGTGTGTTTATGCATGCAGAAATCGGAAGTAGTCGATGATCTTTCTCATACAGTTTGGGAAAACATTCTGACATTTTTATATCAATTTTTTTGGAAAAACTAACAATATTTTTGCTCAGGGAAGCAACATGTATTTGGCTGTGAAAGAAGGGCAACAGAATGCAATTTTGTGGGCATCATGTTAACATGGAAAGTAAAATTCTGTTGGGATTGCTTGAAGTAACAAATTGTGTGGGTTATTGGATTTGGCAAAAACTCTTGTATACATGCTTGGGTATCAATGATTGATGAATTATTTGTATGGATAAAAAATAAGTGCTTCTCTGACCCCCACCTCCACACATTTAATTCTGGAACAGCCCTTAAAGCTTTCCTCCCTGGCAGAGGTAATTTATGATTGGGTAAGGAGCACAAGTGATAGTTCCTCTTTCTGTAACCATCTTTATGATTGGCTGTTTGGCTATAGTTTCTCTTTCTGTAACCCTCTTTATGATTGGCTGTTTGGCAGGTGCCTGGACAAATGATGCAGCCCTTGGTCAAGGTAAGATATCACAAAATACAAAAAAAGTAGAAGGATGAAAGCAGTTATTTATACTATGTATGGACAGGATGAAATGAATAGTAGTTCTATAGATAGTGATTCTAGGATCCTGAAGTGACCTGGAGTCTAACACTAAGTTTCTCTGGACGAAAACACAACCTTACTGATAGTAACATTCGTTACAAAAACAAACCAACAATACCTTAAGGGAAGATACATCTTCAAAGCATTGTCTTCAGTATCTTGATGAACTAATTTGACCTATTTGCTGCTTATCTTTTGGACAAATAAAAATTTAAAAAGACATTATCTGACAGAAAAAAAAATCGCTTGGATGTTTATTTTATTTTGAGAGTTTATATGTAGCTTTAATTAAACGTGCATTTCAGGACAATTTTATGTTATGATGTCACCTCAAGACGTACTTCAAGGTCAGCGAAATATTGCCCCAAGGACAGGTTTTAGCACACCCAAAATAGATGGAGGGAGATCAGGTCGTGATGATCGGAGAAGGGCTACGCATAACGAGGGTTTGTTTTTGTTTACTTACATATATTTAAAACATTTAGAATAATAACGATTGGCTCACATCAGAAGTTTAGAGAAAGACCAAACCTAATTCTTAGCACAAATACAGTTAGAAGGTTTCATGAAAATGCAGGATACGATGTATTTGTTCATATCTCCAAGGACACATCTCAATCTCCTATAGCTTGTACCATTGGAGTGGTCACAGCACCAAATCTATAAGTTATATAAAACACCCAGTCATCTCTGGGGTTCAAACTAGTGACCATTCAGTCTATAGCCCGACACTCTGTGGCTCGACTAAAGGGAAGTTCCTACTAGCCAAGACTTGTAAGGTGACCTGTACTCTCAACTTATACATTTAAAAACAAAAAATTGTAGAGAAAACTTACCCTGATTTGCCACATGGCATCCAAAAGACATTTTAAGTCTGAGTCCTGGCAATGCTTCAAGTGTAAAATATTTCACATAATGTAAACAAAACACAGTAAGATTTGTTAGGAATTTAGCTGTTGACCCTAACCCTAAAGCCTTTATAAGTATACAAATTAAAAGAAGACCCCAGTTATTTTTAGGAATGTGGGCTGTTCAGTAGGACTCATTCTGAATTTTAATTCTGAAAAAGACACTATTTAGAAAATTCCTAATGTAAATTTCTGAATATGCTATTGTATATCTTGAGAGATGTTTTGTAAATATAGAGATTTGTTTTGCTATATGTTTATAGTGGAAAGACGAAGACGAGACAAGATAAACAATTGGATCGTCACTCTCTCTAAGTTAGTTCCAGATTGTGCCCAGGAACATGTGAAGCAGGGCCAGACCAAGGTAAGTGAAAATGTAAGTAACTTTTTTTATTTCCTTTTTAATTAAGTTTCACTTTTTCATTATTTCTATTTGTAACGTGTATTCTACGATGATGCCTTTATTAATGGAGTCTCGTATCAGTATTTTGTTGTCAGAATATTTACTGATATAAGGGTGAAGAAGTCTTTCATGTTGAAATCTCAATCCAATTCAGCTGATTTAGAACAAGGATCCATAGGATTTATTCCCAGAATTATAACAGATAATGCTCTCTTTGACTAAAATCAACCTCATTTGTCTTTTGGTGTTTTGTTTGTTTCTGATTTCTAAATTTTAATTTGTTTCCGAGTGAAAAATACTGTATGATTTCTTACTTTACTGTACTTTTAATGTTTCAGAGCAAAGGAGGAATTCTATCTAAAGCCTGTGATTACATCAATGAACTAAGAAATGGCAATGTGCGTATGGCAGAAAGTCTTAAAGAAACAGAACGGTTATCTGTTGATTTAGAATTGTTGAGACAACAGTGTGAGGACATGAAAAATGAAAACGCAATATTACGTGCCCAGTTACAGTCGCACGGTATTATCCCAGATGTGTCTGGGGGATCATAGTGGCAGTAATCTGGATGGTCTCAAGACATGGACATTAGGGTAGTTCAGGGTCATCCAGAGGTCAAGTGTGTAAGGGTCAGTGCTCGGCTGTATCAGCCTTCAGTTAGGTATCAAATATGTCGTGCTGGAGCAGACCAACTGTGATTGGTCGATCTTGTGATGTAGGATTTGCCCAGTACAAAAACAGACTTTGATTGGCCAAATCAAAGATACAAGCAACTGAAGTTGAAAAGACATCATATCTTTTATTTCGTTTTAGAAGTCGTCTTGAGAAATCACTAAAGAGGTCCCAAATATAAAAAGTGCTGTATCATGACGCAGGAAGGATGTAGTAAATTGTGTTCTTCAACACAAGTTCTACAGTTTAAATTGATACACTGTGAATGGTGTACAACTGTGAATGTTGGGGAATATATGTATATAGAAACATTATGTAAGGGAGGTGATAAAATGATATTTGCTCTTAACATCAACATTTTGTAGTAGAATTTTGTACCTCCTAAACATTCAACAAGGACACATATGACCAGATCTGATAGGAAAATTCTAAAAATTGTTTTACGATGTTTCTAAAGTGTGAGGTCAAAGTTGTCACATGGTCATGATAGCCTTTTGGGCTCATAATGGCAATTAAATATTTCTTAAGAAAGTAAGGTTTCATTAGGTTTCAATACTATTGATGAAAGTTCTTAGACCTGTTGGTTTTATAATAGACATTGTATTAAAAATGTTTAGCATTGATTTGAAGTTAAACATATTGAATGGCTTAACTAATCAGTATTTTACAAATTTTAATTAGTATTAAACCTTCACTGACAATTATTTATTAGAGCTTGAACAGATCAATAGAATATCACTCCAACAGACACAATATTTAAGTGTTATGTCATAAGATTGTCACACAGGTTTGGGTGTGTGGACTGTAAAAATGAATTGAATGTGTTGATGCCATTTTTAAAGAGAGATTGTTGAATTTTAAATTATTATTAAATGTGGACAGATGTTTTTATTGCAAATTATTTGTGCAGTGATATGTGGTATTGTAGCATCCTCCATGTTGCATCAGAAATACTTTTATTGGTTTGTTGGTTCCATGGCATCTCTACCTTACAAATCATTTGACTATCTAGAAAAGCCTTCTTTTACCTTTATAAATGTATATGGTACTATTTAATTGAAAGACACATGAATATGTAAGGCTAACAAATGTAATCAGCCAAAGAACACTACTGACATAACCATATTTATTTTGTGTATAGGAGAATATTTGCCAAGAGTTTTATTTAGCCCTTGAATAGAACTCTCAAATATTGTCACTGGTTATGTCCCTTAGATAGATTTAAAACAAATTCAGCCCTTGAATAGAACTCTCAAATATTGTCACTGGTTATGTCCCTTAGATAGATTTAAAACAAATTCAGCCCTTGAATAGAACTCTCAAATATTGTCACTAGTTATGTCCCTCAGATAGATTTAAAACAAATTCAGCCCTTGAATAGAACTCTCAAATATTTACACCGGTTATGTCCCTTAGATAGATTTAAAACAAATTTAGCCCTTGAATAGAACTCTTAAATATTGTCACTGGTTATGTCCCTTAGATAGATTTAAAACAAATTCAGCCCTTGAATAGAACTCTCAAATATTGTCACTGGTTATGTCCCTTAGATAGATTTAAAACAAATTCAGCCCTTGAATAGAATTCTCAAATATTGTCACTGGTTATGTCCCTTAGATAGATTTAAAACAAATTCAGCCTTTGAATAGAACTCTCAAATATCGTCACTAGTTATGTCCCTTAGATAGATTTAAAACAAACTTAGTCCTTGAATAGAACTCTCAAATATTGACACTAGTTATGTCCCTTAGATAGATTTAAAACAAATTCAGCCCTTGAATAGAACTCTCAAATATTGTCACTGGTTATGTCCCTTAGATAGATTTAAAACAAATTCAGCCCTTGAATAGAATTCTCAAATATTGTCACTGGTTATGTCCCTTAGATAGATTTAAAACAAATTCAGCCTTTGAATAGAACTCTCAAATATTGTCACTAGTTATGTCCCTTAGATAGATTTAAAACAAATTCAGCCCTTGAATAGAATTCTCAAATATTGTCACTGGTTATGTCCCTTAGACAGATTTAAAACAAATTCAGCCCTTGAATAGAACTCTCAAATATTGTCGCTGGTTATGTCCCTTAGACAGATTTAAAACCAACTTAGCTCTTGAATAGAACTCTCAAATATTTACACTGGTTATGTCCCTTAGATTAAAAACAAACTTAGCTCTTGAATAGAAATCTCAAATATTGACACTGGTTATATCCCTTAGATAGACTTTAATCCAAACTTTATCAAATGTTTTTCTGCTGTGATCTCGCAGTTGTATTCTGCATAAATATACATCAAAACTCCTGCTGAAAAAGCAATTCAATCTTTGGATTTATGGAAATTAAACAGAAAAACATTTACAGCTTTCTGTGCCAGTCTTGTAAATCAGTACCTTGATAGCAAAGCATTCAAGCCTTTATTGTATTAGTGTAGATGTTGATATTGTCTAAATCACACTTTTCTGAACGAGAGATGAGTGCAATTATTGTATTCAGATACACATGTACTTTTTTCACACCTTGTTTTAAATTTGATCAATTTATGCTGCAGCTTTTAATTTAATAGTGATCACTTATATTTCCATAGTGATCAAACATTGAAGCCCCATCATGCAAGTGTAAATAATTTTGATGGTATAGATCAGAATTTTTCCTCAATCTTCAGGACAAAAAAAGTATATTTGAATTTAAAACATATTACATGCAGAATCTGATGTTGTCAAAATTCTTACTCCAATAGATCTTTACTTGTATATGTATTAATCAGTGTTGTGTACTCCAGGGACGTTTGGTTGGAACATTCAAATTATTTTAGAAAATCAAAGTAGGGAAGGTTAATCAGGTTGTTACACAAATACTGTTGTCTTTGATGATTTCCGGGACAGTTTGGGTTTGTACACAATCAGATATTGTCACTAGTGATGTCACCGACAGATTGTGTCATTACAGACAGATTGTGTCATTACAGCGTGATGTTTACTATAGGTGTTTCTCATAGATTTAAAGGCATGATGACAGGAAGTGACAAAATGTTCTAATATTTCCTGTAGTTTGGATATTCCTAGAAAAGTTTTAGTTTAACAAAATAATTTTCTCTTAAATTTTTCAGAAATGGGAGGGGGTTCCCAGTGTAGGTCAAATCCTCTTCCTGGTCCATTGTTTTGCTTATCTCATATGAAGCAAGCTTATTCCATGTTCAGCAGACTTATTTCAGACTTGTCCCATTTGAAGCAGGATCATCTCCTGTGAAACAGACTTATTTCAGACTTGTCCCATTTGAAGCAGGATTATCTCGTGTGAAACAGACTTATTTCAGACTTGTCCCATTTGAAGCAGGATTATCTCGTGTGAAACAGACTTATTTCAGACTTGTCCCATTTGAAGCAGGATTATCTCGTGTGAAACAGACTTATTTCAGACTTGTCCCATTTGAAGCAGGATTATCTCGTGTGAAACAGACTTATTTCAGACTTGTCCCATTTGAAGCAGGATTATCTCGTGTGAACAAGGCTTGTTCCATATGAAACAGTCTTATTCCGTGTGAAACAGACTTATTGCATGTGGAACTAAAAGTTATGTTTACTCCATGGTCTCAGTTGTGATGACAATATGTCATCTTCAAGAGCTTCATATCATTTTGTTATCTACTGTGGATACACAGTAGGGTTCATACATAAAAATATTGTTTGTGTGTATATTTATTTACTGAATATTGTTGCAACCAATGGATAAACAAAAACAATTATGTACTGTATACAAACTTTCCTTATATACTTATTTCTCTGATTTCTACGTCGCAAGTCCATGGGAATTAACTTGCTAAATGGACCAAGTTATACCATACTTCACTCCAAGGTATTTCCCTCACTTACTTTCTGGCAGTGAACTTGTTGCCACCATTAAGGCGTATAGCACTTGAAAGCAAGTTTGTTCGCTGTACCTCCTGGAATCCATGTGATCACTGAATTAGGATCACCTTGGTTAAATTGATTGACAGAATATGTACAACAGAATGTTTCAGCAGCTTTGGCTGAAGTTTCTGATATTTAATACAAACCTATTTCACAAAATACATGATCTGTTGGGGACTACCTTTTTTTAAAAGATAATTACCAGTTTTTATTTTTATTTTTATTATTTTTTTTTTTTGAGTCTGATGGAAGAGAGAGGACTACATAGGGAATCATATTTGTGATTTATAATCAGCTTCTTCAGTTTACAGCAAATTAACATTGTTACCATCACAATTGCAGTGGTTTGATCACTATTTGTGTGATCTATATATAGAAAATGAATCTATTTATAGATCATACTTGTGAACAAGTTCAATAAATTTGATATGACATGATTACTAGTTTATGTGTTCATTTATCTGTTTTTAATATCCTGAAGAAATTCAGAAAAAAAGACCAATTATAGATTCAGTTGATATTTATATTTCACCTTAGATAAAATAGTGTGATTTTATTCAGTCTGATATCACAAACCAATCATCAAACAGCATTACTGTCGCTTTGGATTTTTGAAAAATTGAAAAATATAAATAAAAATATTATAATGTCATCAAAATTCAAACATGAAGACCCCTGGAGAATAGGACCATGTGTTCTGAAAAGGTAAGCGTTTTCTGCTTTATCTATTACACAGCTGAATTATATATATAACCTCACGTTCTCAAATAAGAGTGTCATTTTGTGTCGGGGGGGGGGGGACTAAACCACAAGATATCATTACAAGCATCAAACATTTCACAATGAGAAAGAAAATGCAACAATGATATGATTGTGACGGCCATAAAACTTTTTAACGTGCAAGAGGGCTGATAAATAAGTTTTGAGCCTCGTATTGAAGAAGTTGAGCAGCTCCACTATTACTAAGACTTCTGACAGTTGATCAGAAGCACACCAAGAGAACTTTGTCGCTTGCTATTCTAAACCTTTTAGAGGCAGATCCTGATTACTTTCTGCTGAGGTTTGTGACTTTGGATGAAACATAGGTCCGTCTTTCACCCCAGAGGCTAAACAACAGTCTATTTCATCCCAGAGGCTGAGCAACACTCTATTTCACCCGAGAGGTTAAACAACACTGTTTCACCCCAGAGGCCAAACAACACTCTGTTTCATCCCAGAGGCTAAACAACAGTCTGTTTCATCCCAGAGGCCGAACAACAGTTTGTTTCATCCCAGAGGCCGAACAAGTCTACTTCATCAGAGAGGCTAAACAACAGTCTGTTTCATCAGAGAGGCCAAACAACAGTCTACTTCATCAGAGAGGCCAAACAACAGTCTACTTCATCAGAGAGGCTAAACAACAGTCTGTTTCATCAGAGAGGCCAAACAACAGTCTACTTCATCAGAGAGGCCAAACAACAGTCTACTTCATCAGAGAGGCCAAACAACAGTCTACTTCATCAGAGAGGCTAAACAACAGTCTACTTCATCAGAGAGGCTAAACAACAGTCTGTTTCATCAGAGAGGCCAAACAACAGTCTACTTTATCAGAGAGGCTAAACAACAGTCTGTTTCATCCCAGAGGCCGAACAACAGTCTGTTTCATCCCAGAGGCTAAACAACAGTCTACTTCATCAGAGAGGCTAAACAACAGTCTGTTTCATTCCAGAGGCAAAACAACAGTCTACTTCATCAGAGAGGCCAAACAACAGTCTACTTCATCAGAGAGGCTAAACAACAGTCTGTTTCATCAGAGAGGCCAAACAACAGTCTACTTCACCAGAGAGGCTAAACAACAGTCTGTTTCATCCCAGAGGCCGAACAACAGTCTGTTTCATCCCAGAGGCTAAACAACAGTCTACTTCATCAGAGAGGCTAAACAACAGTCTGTTTCATCCCAGAGGCCGAACAACAGTCTGTTTCATTCCAGAGGCAAAACAACAGTCTACTTCATCAGAGAGGCCGAACATCAGTCTACTTCATCAGAGAGGCCAAACAACAGTCTACTTCATCAGAGAGGTCAAACAACAGTCTACTTCATCAGAGAGGCCAAACAACAGTCTACTTCATCAGAGAGGCTAAACAACAGTCTGTTTCATCAGAGAGGCCAAACAACAGTCTACTTCATCAGAGAGGCCAAACAACAGTCTACTTCATCAGAGAGGCCAAACAACAGTCTACTTCATCAGAGAGGCTAAACAACAGTCTGTTTCATCAGGGAGGTTTAACAACAGTCTACTTCATCAGAGAGGCTAAACAACAGTCTGTTTCATCAGAGAGGCTAAACAACAGTCTGTTTCATTCCAGAGGCCAAACAACAGTCTAAACAATGGAAGCAGCCTTGTTCATACCCACCAGAGGTACAACTTCATTTATTGAATACCACTTTTATTAGATGTCCAAAAGCTAGAATAATTATAATATCAAATTAATGTAAGCATGACAAAGAAACTTGGGAAATATCGGTGGTGGGTGTAATGGGCGGGGAAGGAGATGGGGGTTCGAATAACTATTGATGGTGATGAAGCTTATCTAATTTTGGTGTCTAAATCTATAAGAATTTTGATACACAATAATTTCTCACGAAAAACTTATTTTAAAAGATAACACTGATTAATGATGATTTCTGTATTACACTAGAATAGTCCCAGGATTTATGAAAATGTTTAAAAAAACATTGGGGAACATAAACCAGCTGTTTTACTGCCAGCAAACTAACATTCGACGGTGAGACGATACCCGGACACGGGAAACCATTCAACCTACCAACCAGTGACCGTTAAAGTGTACCCTGAGAGTAATTTTATATTTAAATATAATGTTAAGAATGCCGTAAAAATAATAATGATGAAAACCCCGTCAAAATCCGTCGCCCCAGTGTCGAGTTATTAAAGCTCAAAGTTGTCGATTTTCACCTGTCCGCCCAGACCTAATCAGCCGAATCGTCATTTCCGCGGAATCGAGGCTCTTCTACTCGTGACGTCATAAGTTCAACAGAAATGGCAGTCAACATGACTGACAGTGACAACGACACCGCAACTGAGAGCGATTTGAGCATGAGTTTTGAGGAGTCTGATTATGGTGTGAATGATATGTCTGAAGACGGAATCCAGCCCTACCGATTTGAACTGGAATTACAAGACGATGTATCAAGTGAGGAGGAAAATGACCCTTCGAAAAGTGACGATCGCTTGGGCAACATAGATTGGCACGTACTTCACTGGGTCTCACCAGTAGTCGTGATAGTAGTCGAACAGTGAATCGTCGTTTCAAAGAAACAAAATAAAATTGGGTGTGGTTTTGGACTAATTTTACTATCTTCAAGTCTCGATCAACAATTTCTGACGTCGGGAAATCGTGTTTGTGCAAGACCATGCATACATTCACGAGGTGTCGGGAATTTTCTTACCGAAGAAGTTTCGTCCGAGGGGAATTTTTCTTTCCAGGGAATTTTCGTAGCACTATGGATATATATAGATAGGGTGTCAACAACCAATTATAACACCCTCCGCTGTGTTAATAATAAAAAATTGATGTTTTAGAAGTTTAAACAATTAGTTGACTGGTTTTTACCCTAGCACTGGTACGCGTCTGTTGTTAGCCGACAGGCGTGTCGCCTCACAGGTGTCACAATTGTTTTTTCCAGCCACAGAGGTGCTAATTACCTAACCTGGTGAAGGTGTGATTATGAGTTTAGATGACATCTCTACACTGTGAACTGTGTTTTCAAATCAAGATTGGTGATCTTATTGTTATATTTACGATCGCAAAATTAATAACTAAACAACATCGTCTGCTGGAAGATCTAAAAACCAAATACACCTTATACAAACAACATACACACATAACCTATTCTATAAATTCTAATAATTCTATTCTATACTATATAATAGTAGTATGAAAATTCTCGGGGTGAAAATTCCCGTGACCCATTCACGACTAGGCCTCCGAGTATTAGGCGTTCACGATTACGAAGGAATAATATTCCTATGACCGCCCAAGTCATAGGCTAGCCTATCAATTTGAAATGTTTAGGTGTAGAATTAATAACAAAATATCAACCTAACAAATATACTTTTATTTAATCAACAATCAGTTTTATTTATCGACGTCATGCATCGAGACCCCATCCGTGTTGGTGTTCGGACAACCATACACACCGCTTCCCTCCTCGATAGGAAGCCATTTTAGCGGATTTAAGCGCTAATTCACCGACCCCTCGTTCACTACCTTAGATATTGCGAAGATGTGAAGTACTTTCACGTAAATAAACAAAGAAATTACCACGGAAAATCCCAAAATAGATCACAATCACATGTAGCACAGTAAAGACAATATGGCTGCATCAACAAAAGCGTTGAACTTATGACGTCACAGGTTTGGGTGCCCGAAAACGAGGTCAACGCCTCTCAGCCAAAGGTGTGTTTTTCAGAAAAGTCGCAATTTCTCAGTAACGGAACATTCCACGGCATTCGCGTTTTCGGCATAGTGTATTTTATGTGCAGAACTATTTTTCAAGGTCAACATAGCTGACCTCTCAGGGTACACTTTAATCTTAAAGAATAAAGGTTAAAAAGCATTTTAATGTTCAGTTGTTAAAATCCAATATGGTAGTCCAACATTTTGTTCTTTTGATTAGCCTAAAATCAAAACAGCACAATGGTAGAAATCTACATATGGAACCAATCCTACTTCTGAGGAAATAGTGACAGATAACTTTCAAGTTCCAAGATGGCCGTCTGACGGTCATGTTGTCTTTATGATCAGTAAAAAATGTAAAAATAGAGACCAGTTATACTCAATTGGGCCACACATACATGTATGAAATGTGACAAAACTAACCCAGTACTTCTCAAAAAATCATCGTCATAATCCAAGATGGCCGCCTGTCAGCCATTTTATTTTTCTGCCCTGCTCCAAAATCAATATTACATAACTACGAACTAATGGTATTCCAGGCTTTTTCATGAAATTACGGGGACGACGAACTACGGACGTAGGGCGATTTGAATAGCCTACAATAATTCATTTTTCTGTTTGTGGGACAATGGTCGGAGTAGTATTTGGAGCGGAGATATTTCATTTTATGTACTTCATTCTATATTCATTCTATATGGTTGGCGAAATGAAACTCAGATTCTGTACACAGAATAAATGTTTTATCCTTACATTGAATATAAATTATTTGACTTAATTGGTCTATAGACTTATCCCACAATACGTCCCTGCCCACAATGACAATCTTATATGGAGATTTTTAGTGGGTCGGTGTAGTAATGGTACAATCTAATTATATTTACATTCGAAAAGGTTTCTAAGAATTTGAACAGGAACAAAAGTCAATGAAAATTGAAGAGGAACACGAAAGAAATGTTGGCATTTTTTATTGGAACAATGATCAGAGTTCTATGCTGCAAATAGTCCTAAACTCAACATCGTGATATGTACAATGTTTCCTATCCCAATAAGCAACTATATAATGACTGAATGAATGGTTTGTTGCTATACGTGCCATTATATATTATATAGTAAGTTCAATGCAAGGTGGCAGAATGACTGGTATATTTCACCGCTACACAACGATGATCCAGAGATACGAATAGGGTCTTCGCGCCAACTATTTAATGACATTTTCTCTATTTTTCTCTTTTTACTTAAAAAACAGAAAAGGATGTTTTACGGATGGACAACGGGCGATCGGAACAATCCATCATATGTTAGTAGGATAAAAAAGACAACAAATGAAAAATTGATAATAGTAATTACCAAAATAGTGGTTTTTCGACTTTCTTTTTTTGGTACGAAACTACCTAATTGTGGTAATGCATATCCCTGAGTCCTGGTCAGAAATGCGCTTATATGAGAGAGATGAGCGTCTGGGTTAACAAGCGCTATTTTGACACCGAGTTGCTATTTGGGAAGGCCGGGGATTCCCCTCGATATTACGGTACTTCCTTGAAAATTTCCAAACGGGAATATGCCTTAGTTAATTGTCGATTTTCTATGTTAAAAATGGTGAAAGAAAGGAATAATGTGCGACCGGGACAAGAACACGACGAAAAAACACAAACGGAAAACGTTGTGTATTCTTCAGGTAGGTAGAAGAGCGATCATCTGCTGAGATTATTGAAAATTTGTTTAGTTTATGACGTCTGTCTGTTCGGTCAAGTTCATTTCGTTACAGCTCAATGACTTCATACTATGTTCTGCATGGCTGATTACACCATTAGTCCTGTTGTTTTTCGTGTTTACATTAAGTGACGTAGATGTTATTTGTTAAGACTGGTTGTATATGAAACATTACATTAAGGATATCAGTGTTGGGTGGTGTGGGTTACAATAGAAATATACGTCATGTCTAGACCTATTTGGAGATAAGTGTAGGGTTCAATATGTGGAGGGCTTTCTGATGGAAATTTTGTAATAACAGAAGGAAGTTATTAAATGGGAATAGAGGGACAGATTGAAAAGATTTTTTACATCCCATATATGGGATGGTCTCTAATAAAAGAATGATTGCTCACGCAGAGAAAACAGGAAGTGTGGGCACATTGAATTGACGTGTAAAAAAAGTTATCTGTTTATATTTGAAAAACAAAATCACCATATCATACAACATTATAATGTGGAACTGTAAAAATACTGGTAAATCCTGAATTAGTGAAGTAGATAATTCAAACATGGTGCATACAGAAATAATATATCCTTATAATTTGGAGATAAGGATATTTTTCTTATATTTAGAAAAAGAAAATCCAAAACAAAATAGCAATAGAAGTTTAACCTGTGTCACATTTTTGTGACAGTGAGAAGCATTTGTATCTATTGTTGCTAAGGACAACAAAACCAGAACAAATCATAAAATTGACAGTCATTATGTAATGTTTTTTTATCATCAAATCAATGTAAAATGTGCCCAAAGAATACAATAATGAAAAGTAAGCAAAAGCTTAGTGAGAAATACATGGGTGGAAGTGAAAGTGTGTATGGATGAAGGGTTGTTAGCAAGACCAACACTGTGATAAATGTTTCTGGGTTCTGTATTAACACTTTTCAAAGAAATGACATGAAGTCAGATTCCAAATGTCAGTTTCATCATTGTTGTTATTAACACCATCATGTCATTTCAAAACTGAGAAAATCTAAACTTATCTAGATTAACATGGATGTCATATTTAATGTATCTATAAATCATCAAGACAATATACACATCATTGGAAGTACTGGTAAGTCAAAATAAAAAAAAAATCCCATTTTACAGGGATGTTATAATTCTGATCAAACTCTGAAATTCCTCATATCAGCTGTCATTATAACTTAAAAACTTTCTGAAACAGTGATGAGGGTTGGAGAACACTCTGAAGTAGACGATGATGAAGAAAAAGATTTGGGAAGTTTGAGTATTGATGACATTATCAACCACATTGAACAACTCAAGATCAAGGATGAGAAAAAGGTAATTTACTGATGAAAAAAATTATCAACGAGATAATGAAAAGAATCATCATTTTTATCATTTCAAGAAACTACATCATTTTACCAAAAAATATTTTGAACAATTGAAATGATAAATGTTTAACACTGTCACTATTAATTAAAATCTATAGAAAACCATGTACAAATCCTGGTAAAGTGAAATAAAGATTTTTACTTCGTAATATTTATGCTAAACCTTTTTATAAGTACCCAACCAAACTTAATTTTTATGTGCTTGTAACATGTAATAACTGAAAATATGATACAGTTTGTTATAATCCTCACCATAATTATACAGTAATTTTTGTAGGACTTTTCAGGCCATTTCCAGAACACTGGTTCCAAAATTTTGATGAGTCCCAATACTAAGAGATATGTAATGGGTTCTCATAATTTAATTGAGTCCCACAAAAAAAGTATGTGTCCAAATATCTGAGACCCAAAAATTACTGATTGTAAAAAGCATCCCAGGATAGTTGTGAAAAGTCAATTACCATCAGTATGTGCAAGATCCATTTTATTATTTTTTTTTGACAGGAGATATCGATTGAGTCAGAGCTAATACTTGTCTTCATTCACTGCTGCTTAAAATCTAGCCTACTTGTAAGATAGGATTTTTTTTTTACTTTTTCAATTTTGCAGGAAATTTTTACAGCAAGAGGAAAAATAAAAACACATCAAATAGATGAGAGATTGTATCCGTACCAGAGTTCCCAGCTGGACATACAGCTGTATAAAGTTCAAACCTCCCATCCAGAGTACAAGTTTCAACCAAATGTTCAACAGCCATACCAGAAATATGTACAACCCTCTATTCAGCCAAGTTTCGTGCCAAATTCGGTTAAAAAACATAGTAACTATGTTGCTGGGGTTGATGAAAGATGCCGATTTTGGATGAAGCCCAAAGAAGAATTCCAATACTTGCAAAAACATGGCCATCCCCTTCTCCCAGGAAATGATCAACAAAGTGGACAGTGGGAAGTTGATGGCCGTGCCCGAAAGCTGACAAGTGCCAACAACAATAAATGTGTGAGAAAAGTTGCACCGAGGAGGATAAGGAAACAAAAACAAGCGACAGATTTGACAATGTCTGATGGTGTGGTAATGACATTTGCAGATGATGGGTGTCCCAATGAAGACTTCACAGGTAGTCTTATCAGTTTGTTTCAGCTTCAACTGTAACTGTTGTCAAGTAAGGTTAAAGGTGTTAGATGAGGACAGATAAACTAAGTAAAATTTAGAGAGGAAGTGGCGTGAGTTGATGAATAAAAAAGGCTTTTGTATATTCTGATTACTTATGTAAAAGTTAAATTTTTTTTCTTTAAGAGAGTTTCAGTTGTTTTGTTATCAGCAGGGCTCTCACACCCCATTTTGGGACTGGGGCCCGGAGCCGTTAGAATGGGGAAAAATAGCAGCGTTTTCCTTAGAATTGGGAAAACTTGGGGTCTAAGTTAGGAAAAATTGCATTGGGAATATTCGGCCCCAAATCTGGCAGATCAAGAGCCCTGATCAGAGCATCATTGTATAACTGTCGGTGGATTTTCAAAGACAATTTTTCATAAAAAGGTAGAAGGTCATATTCAGGACAGATATAGAACACTTTGGAGTTTATATGACCTTGTCAATGGAGATTTTCAGTCTCATTTATGACCATTTTGCCATTTTTGTATACAGATTTTAAGGAAGTGTGATAGCTCCCTCTTACTGCATATAGAACCAGTATATATATATATATATGTAACCCTGTTAAATACTAGCATCAGACTAGTAAACCAGAGGTCCTTGGTTCGAATTCTATTGAAGACATGACATATATAATGACCTCTGTTACTTCAGGGTATTTCCAACATTGTCTGTCAGTCTGTCAGAATTTTGACTTGAATCACAAAAAACTATAAGTGGTGTCAACATGAAACATCATAGGTAGATAGATAATGATAAGGAGAAGTGAAGTGTACAAGAATTATAACTCTCACTTGCATAATTTAGGAGTTATTGCCCTTTGTTATTTTTCTTAATTTAGTTTTGTCAAAATTAGCAATTTTGGAACTAGCATTAATTTGGGGAGCATCCATCAGTTCTGTTGTTTATCATTATAAATGTTGATCTTCTTTTTAACACAGATGGACTGACTCTTGATCTGGATGTGGACAGCTGTCAACGGGAAATGCCTTTCTCCGAGACAGCCTGGGAAGATGATATCCCAAAGTTGGATTTCCGGCCACAAGATCTCATGGAAATATTTGAAAGTAGTCCGCAGAGTCACATCTATTCTAAAGGTGATAATCTTGGGTACTCTCCCTTGTCACCTCTAGAGACAATATCAAATTATCACCCATCTCCAGGGCGCATGGATGAGGTGTACAATCAGGACACCAATGATAAACCATCCAGTCCGGAACAGAGTACAGATGAGTGTGAGATTCTAAACTCTTCAAATCATTCCAGCCCATATCCTCCAAGTCAGAGGGGCATCTCTCCAGTGTTTCGTAACAGTAATGTGACTGATATTGTAGTGTGTTCCCCAAAAGAGCTCTCTCCAGGGGAGATAAAAAAGTTGGAGCAGATAACAGAACACCTGAATGACTCTTTCACTCTCCTGGACAACCAAACATATTTTGACTGGATTTCCTGTGACATAGATGGAGACAGGTTAGTAATATGTTATTTTACAGATATCTCCTGCCATATTGTGTTACCTTGCAGGATGTTAACCATTAAAAAAGCTTCAGCTGAGATTAAGACAATCCTAATTGAATGGGCTTATTTCCTGAAGGCTGTGGTTAGGATCATCCAGTCTGTTTGCCTGGTTTATTGCCCACTGACCAGTGTCCATTTGCAGTGGAGTTTTTTTTGTAGTGGCTAGTTGTTATCTAATAGAATAACACATGTGAATTCTGTCTGATGCCGTCCAGAACGATTCAAGTGTCTAAGATCGTAGCCATGTCAGCACAGACTTGTGTATTTTTCAGCTTCTTGTGAAATACAAACTGCCATGGATAGAGTTATGAAATGTAATAACCTTGAGTATGAATAAAAAAAGAAAAAAAACCCATAATTTTCTATGTTTAGAATTGATATTTAATGTTTGCTGACTTGACAGTGTGCTGCACTCTTGTATGATCGCTGAAACAAGCCCTCAGTTTATCTTGTTATTGATCCAGTCACTCTGCTCTGAAGGAATCCTATCTTCTATCATAAACCTACAGAACCAGATGTTAAGGGTAAGTATGAGTTCACTTATCATAGATAATGATGTAAGTACAAATTTACTTATCATAAATAATGATGTAAGTATGAGTTAACTTATCGTAAATAATGATGTAAGTACGAGTTCACTTATCATAGATAATGATGTACATTTCATTTTACAAAATTGTCGATGCCATGTAAATTGTGTGATAATCTCAGTTGGCTGACATATAGATTGCGAGTGAGTCAGGGGCTGGGTGTAATAGAGGACAATGACATAGTATATGGTTGTAGATAGGGTTAAAAGAGTCAGAATGAAGCAGAAGACACTTACACTTCTGGAACACTTGGTCTTATTGTCTGAAGTCTCTGTAGAAATCTTTCTGTTGTTGATATCTTGCTTTAAATTCATTGAATTTGAGTTTTGATTATAATCGTGTTGATATTTATTTTTAACTAAACAGCAATGAAGATGTGTGAGCTTATTGTCAGATGTATTCAGTAAGAAGCTTAGTAGTTTCAGTTACCGCCCCAACAAGAAATGTTAAGAAATCAATGTAGACTTTGTATGAAGGGAAGGAAAATTTGTGTAGAATATTATTATTGTATCAACAGACAGCTCTGTTCCTGGCCGTGACGGAGGAGAAGGAGGACGTTGTCCAAGCCCTCCTGGATAATAACGCTGACCCCAACATACAGGGAAAGGTAATAACATCATTCTGTATGAATATGGAAAAGAAACAATGGTACATACACCTTTAACTCTACCACAGTTCAGCTGTACTCCATGATATTACCCTTACCTACAAGTAAAGATGATAACATCATACTGTATAAATATAAAGAAACAAATGGTACATACACCCTTAACTCTTACACAACGTAAATGTACATACAGCGACAAAGTTCCGTTATACAGGAAGGGATGTTTTGGAAGGTTTAAGAACTCATTCTGTCATGTAAATAATGTTTTAGTTTAAACTATATTTTATTCACTTGTTTAACAATATTATAAATACATTTTACATTAGATTTGGGATGTTTTATCTATCATAGAGTTATTTATATTTTGAAAAAAAAGATCAACATGTAACAACGTCTATATGACCTAATGTCACATGATCTTTTACAGGTTTTGGGTATAAATGACAATTATGAACTGAGATCACCACTCCACCTAGTGGCAGAAAAAGGAGACGATTCATTACAGATGTTACAAATTCTGCTTGACTGTGATAAGACTCAAATTGACTTGCGAAGTGAAAGTGATCGTAAGTTTCTATAAAAGTATACACAAGATATCACATGTAGATTTAGGTTGGTGTAACTGAACAGAGGAGAAAAGGGTGGTGCCAAGTAGCTAGGGCCATTCTACTACTCAATCAGAATTTGACAATTTTGTTTTATTTTAAAATTCATAAAACTTGATACTCATTAAGCAGAAATCACAAGAGTTTGTCAGGACAATTTAATGTTTATTTTCAAGCCACCTCCTAAAAAACCCCAAATTTTGTAGGATTTTTTCGGTTAGTCCAGAACACCATATACAAAATTTTGTTGAGTCCTATCACTAAGAGATGAATTGGGTCCTCAAAACTTAAATGCTTCCCACAGGAAAATCGTGAGTCAAGGACTAAAATATTTGAGTACCGAAAATCACTGATGTGGTGAAAATGGGTGAAAATGCTTTCCTTAAAAGATCAGCTTATCACTGAATGTTCACAAAATGGCAGCGTAGTGTTGGAAACCCTCCTTTATAAATGTATGCTTCACTTATAGGTTGTGGTGGCTGACTGTCTTTATCACATGGCCTCTACTTCTGGGTCGCAAGTTTCAGGATGACTGTCTTTATCACATGGCCTCTACTTCTGGGTCGCAAGTTTCAGGGGTAGGGAGGGGGAAGGGGGTTGTCAGATCAGGAAAACTTATTTCTAAATGTGTCTGTCTTATCCTGTTTCATTTTTTAATATATACCTTAAATATGATTCAATATTCAAATGATGAAACAAAGGAAATAGGGAGCTATTGGCATACTGCAGTGTCCATCCATCTGTCCAATTGTTTGTGTAAAGTCGTTCTTGTGGTTTTAAGTGGTAGTAGATATACAGCTTACATTTGTGATATCATCTTTTGACAAAATGGAAGCCACTGATTGGTTGTTTATGGGAGGTCATGGGAGGTCATGCTGATTGGTTGTTTATGGAAGGTCATGGGAGGTCATGCTGATTGGTTGTTTATGGGAGGTCATGGGAGGTCATGCTGATTGGTTGTTTATGGGAGGTCATGGGAGGTCAGGCTGATTGGTTGTTTATGGGAGGTCATGGGAGGTCATGGGAGGTCATGCTGATTGGTTGTTTATGGGAGGTCATGGGAGGTCATGCTGATTGGTTGTTTATGGGAGGTCATGCTGATTGGTTGTTTATGGGAGATGGATGGTATGCTTTGACTTGAGAGTCTCATTTTCTTGCTGTATTTAATGCCCTTGTTGTGTTGTGGAGTGGACGTGATAATGTGCTTGAAGTTTTACGGCTCAATATGATCACAGTTATAATAATGAGAATTTATGGATACATAATATTGTGATGGGCATACAGAAGTTGTAACTGTCGTCCTGATAATGACCTTGCAGCTGTCGAAACATGTTGACGACATCTAGATCTTGGTAAAGAAGATGACTGTTCTTGGATGTTGAGAAATCTTCATTTCCACATTTTAAATGTATTTGTAGGAAGGACTGCCTTACACATAGCCCTTTTATCTCACTGTTTCCAAAAACCAGAGAAGATAAAGGTTAATTGTTCTAGGACCATCCAGCTATTGATTCAGTATAACGCTGATGTAGAATTAATGGTAAGTACAGACAACTTATATAACCATTGATTCTTATAACTGGAAGTTTACAAACTTGTAAATTCAGTAGAGATTTGTGTGTTATTAGGGCTTTAATGGAAACCTCCATACTCCAAGTGTTACTCTCACTATCACTCTCTGTAACTCTGAAAACATCCTCCATACGCCAGGTGTTACTCTCACTATCACTCTCTGTAATCATCCTCCATACTCCAGGTGTTACTCTCACTCTCTGTAATCATCCTCCATACTCCAGGTGTTACTCTCACTATCACTCTCTGTAATCATCCTCCATACTCCAGGTGTTACTCTCACTCTCACTCTCTGTAATCATCCTCCATACTCCAGGTGTTACTCTCACTATCACTCTCTGTAATCATCCTCCATACTCCAGGTGTTACTCTCACTCTCACTCTCTGTAATCATCCTCCATACTCCAGGTGTTACTCTCACTATCACTCTCTGTAATCATCCTCCATACTCCAGGTGTTACTCTCACTCTCTGTAATCATCCTCCATACTCCAGGTGTTACTCTCACTATCACTCTCTGTAATCATCCTCCATACTCCAGGTGTTACTCTCACTCTCTGTAATCATCCTCCATACTCCAGGTGTTACTCTCACTCTCACTCTCTGTAATCATCCTCCATACTCCAGGTGTTACTCTCACTCTCTGTAATCATCCTCCATACTCCAGGTGTTACTCTCACTCTCTGTAATCATCCTCCATACTCCAGGTGTTACTCTCACTCTCTGTAATCATCCTCCATACTCCAGGTGTTACTCTCACTCTCTGTAATCATCCTCCATACTCCAGGTGTTACTCTCACTCTCTGTAATCATCCTCCATACTCCAGGTGTTACTCTCACTCTCACTCTCTGTAATCATCCTCCATACTCCAGGTGTTACTCTCACTCTCACTCTCTGTAATCATCCTCCATACTCCAAGTGTTACTCCCACTATCACTCTCTGTAATCATCCTCCATACTCCAAGTGTTACTCTCACTATCACTCTCTGTAATCCTGGAACCATCCTCCATACTCCAGGTGTTACTCTCACTCTCTGTAATCATCCTCCATACTCCAGGTGTTACTCTCACTCTCTGTAATCATCCTCCATACTCCAGGTGTTACTCTCACTCTCTGTAATCATCCTCCATACTCCAGGTGTTACTCTCACTCTCTGTAATCATCCTCCATACTCAAGGTGTTACTCTAACTATCACTCTCTGTAATCATCCTCCATACTCCAGGTGTTACTCTCACTCTCTGTAATCATCCTCCATACTCCAGGTGTTACTCTCACTCTCACTCTCTGTAATCATCCTCCATACTCCAGGTGTTACTCTCACTCTCTGTTACTCCCACTATCACTCTCTGTAATCATCCTCCATACTCCAAGTGTTACTCTCACTATCACTCTCTGTAATCCTGGAACCATCCTCCATACTCCAGGTGTTGCTTTCACTCTCTGTAACCCTGGAACCATCCTCCATACTCCAGGTGTTACTCTCACTATCACTCTCTGTAACCCTTGAACCATCCTCCATACTCCAGGTGTTACTCTCACTCTCTGTAATCATCCTCCATACTCCAGGTGTTACTCTCACTCTCACTCTCTGTAATCATCCTCCATACTCCAGGTGTTACTCTCACTCTCTGTAATCATTCTCCATACTCCAGGTGTTACTCTCACTCTCACTCTCTGTAATCATCCTCCATACTCCAGGTGTTACTCTCACTCTCACTCTCTGTAATCATCCTCCATACTCCAGGTGTTACTCTCACTCTCTGTAATCATCCTCCATACTCCAGGTGTTACTCTCACTCTCACTCTCTGTAATCATCCTCCATACTCCAGGTGTTACTCTCACTCTCACTCTCTGTAATCATCCTCCATACTCCAGGTGTTACTCTCACTCTCTGTAATCATCCTCCATACTCCAGGTGTTACTCTCACTCTCTGTAATCATCCTCCATACTCCAGGTGTTACTCTCACTCTCACTCTCTGTAATCATCCTCCATACTCCAGGTGTTACTCTCACTCTCTGTAATCATCCTCCATACTCCAGGTGTTACTCTCACTCTCTGTAATCATCCTCCATACTCCAGGTGTTACTCTCACTCTCTGTAATCATCCTCCATACTCCAGGTGTTACTCTCACTCTCACTCTCACTCTCTGTAATCATCCTCCATACTCCAGGTGTTACTCTCACTCTCTGTAATCATCCTCCATACTCCAGGTGTTACTCTCACTCTCTGTAATCATCCTCCATACTCCAGGTGTTACTCTCACTCTCTGTAATCATCCTCCATACTCCAGGTGTTACTCTCACTCTCTGTAATCATCCTCCATACTCCAGGTGTTACTCTCACTCTCTGTAATCATCCTCCATACTCCAGGTGTTACTCTCACTCTCTGTAATCATCCTCCATACTCCAGGTGTTACTCTCACTCTCTGTAATCATCCTCCATACTCCAGGTGTTACTCTCACTCTCTGTAATCATCCTCCATACTCCAGGTGTTACTCTCACTCTCTGTAACCCTGGAACCATCCTCTATACTCCAGGTGTTACTCTCACTTTCACTCTCTGTAACCCTGGAACCATCATCCATTCTCCAGGTGTTACGCTCACTCTCTGTAACCCTGGCATATTTCATATCACACACCTCAGATCTTTAATGGCATTTGTAAAAGTCTGATGTTCTATATACAAAATTATCAAAGCCAAACCCCCCTCCTCCTCTCTCCCCCCCCCCCAAGAAAAAACCTAACAAAAAACAGATGTCAGAATTGTAAAAGTTATTGTACCTATATAAACTGATATGCTAACTTCTATACAGTCATTGAAGGAGATGCAGTATGACAATGCCTTTGAGATATAACTTTGTTTGTTTTTAGGAAGACTGTAGTAGTAAGACCCCCATAATCATGGCCATTGATACGCGGGACTATAACCTTGTGAAAACTTTCATTAATTGTGTCGAAGAGGAAAAGGAAAAAGACATGATTCGTTGTATCCTGGAGACTTGTACGCGTGCCGGTGATACGCCTCTTCATATCGCAGCAGGGGCAAACATTGTGAAGGAGGACAAGGTTAAACTGCTACGGTTACTTGTAAATCGTGGAGCCAACACTCATATCGAAAACAACATCAAACAATTACCAGAGGACATCGCTAGTCGTGATCTGGTTAGTTCATAATGGTCATGTGACATTGATATTATTCCCTGTTCTTTTTACATCCATTTCTCAGCTTATTTTAGGTCAGTTGAATAAAACTTTAAATGGAAAAATTTTCATAAGATGAGTACCTTCCAGTCATCAAAATTAATTTTATCTAAAGTCTTCATTTAAGCCATGTGACCTGGTTCACACTAAAACATCAGATATATATGTCAGAATGTCTGTTGTAATACTTATTTGTTTTATTCTGAATTTTATGGTTTTTTTAATCTTGTAACATGATTTTCTCTTTTTACTTTTCCAGTGGAAAGCTGCATTTAGGTGCTAAGGATACTGACAAAGGAGTGACAAGATGTGAGATTCTGACAGACAAAGGAGTGACAAGATTTGAGATTCTGAGTGACAAAGGAGTGACAAGATGTGAGATTCTGACAGACAAAGGAGTGACAAGATGTGAGATTCTGACAGACAAAGGAGTGACAAGATGTGAGATTCTGACTGACAAAGGAGTGACAAGATGTGAGATTCTGACAGACAAAGGAGTGACAAGATGTGAGATTCTGACAGACAGTTACAAAACACTTTCAAATCCTCCTCCATATTTATGTATTGCGGAGTTATCTGCTCTTGTGAATAGTTATTAATTGTTGTCATTAGTTTGGAATTGAAAATTTCATTGTTGGCGGAGTTGCACATAGTGCATATCTGGGTTATAGTATGGTGAATGTTGGGCGCGCTGGCGGGTGGGCAGGGAAAAGAGGTGTCAGTTTTGTAGAATCAAATCCTCCTAGAGTTTTTGACATAGAAGCTTGAAATTTTGTAGGCTGTTTTAATATATGTTGTAGATATGAACCTCCTATCATGAATTCATTCCAGACATTTTTCTGGATTTTCTGGACTATGGAACTTAGTCCTTTCCGAAGTTTGACAGGGAAATGGGGTACCAGTTTTGTAGAATCAACTCTTCCTGGAGTTTTTGACGTAGAAGCTTGAAACTTTGTAGGATGTTTATATATAAGCTGAAGATGTACACCTATTATATTAAGAATTCTTTCCTAACGTTTTTTCTTGATATTCAAGGCTTTGGAACTTAGACATTTTCCAAGATGACCCCCTTAATTGTCTTATAAATACCTTATAACATTGCACTCATCCCGCAACCCGGCCAGTTGTGGCTTTGCCCCATTTTTATGTCATTAGTTTGCAATTGAAAATTACATTGTTTTTTCACATATTTATGATGTTACTTAAACAAATACCATAACAATTAATGTTTGCACACAAGAGCAGATAACTCTGAATTATCAAAAGATGGGACACTGTCCAGTATTTACTGGAAAATGTTGTTATTTTTTAGGGGTCAAATATTTAGCAATTTACGCAGATTGAAAAAAATTGCGAAATATTAATTACTTAAAATTTCATTTATAATCGGTAACATAGACCTGGATTTTTTCTTTACTTTCATGCTTTTTGTGAAATCACAATAAATTTGAACTATCAGACATAGCACCTTTAACAACACTGCAAATTCTGTAATGAAACAGTATTTCCCTGACTGGAAAATTATTCTTTTAATGCTAGTTGTAATTTATTGGAACTGTGAATCATTTTCAGTCATGGAAGAATGTTCCCAGACAGTGGAGTGAAGTATAAGTTGGATTTGTATAGGAATTTGTGGAATGTTGGATTTGTATAGGAATTTGTGGAATGTTGGATTTGAATAGAAATCTGTGGAATGTTGGATTTGAATAGGAATCTGTGGAATGTTGGATTTGAATAGGAATCTGTGGAATGTTGGATTTGAATAGGAATCTGTTGAATAGGAATCTGTGGAATGTTGGATTTGAATAGGAATCTGTGGAATGTTGGATTTGAATAGGAATCTGTGGAATGTTGGATTTGAATAGGAATCTGTGGAATGTTTAATTTGAATAGGAGTCTGTGTAGTGTTTGATTTGAATAGGAGTCTAAGTAATGCTTGATTTGAATAGGAGTCTAAGTAATGCTTGATTTTCTCCACAATCATTTTTCCCTCATAGGCATTATTCATCAAAACTTTTTAGTAAATAATTACTTCAAAGTTAAATTTCTACTCTCGAAATATTATAAACAGTGATTGCATAAAAATTTAATTTCTAAAAAATATTTTTTTTCTTCAGACCCTTTTATTGAATTTTTGTTGTTGTTTTAACCTGTTACTGTTTGTGAGTTATACAATTTATAAATGTGATATAATGACAATGATATGTGTTATTCAGATTGTACGTTTTAATGTTATGTCTAATTCTATGACATATGTTGTTAACAGTATATGTATATTGTAATGATGCTAGATATTGTAGAACACGATACTGTAAATCACTTATATTTCAAGTAGAATTTATTTTTGTATCAATAGCTAGCGTTACGCATCACATATTCAGATCCGTCAGTATCATTTGTACAAATATAACTGTGGATGGTTTCTGTTAGGTTAACCTATATTGGAGTCTTGCGGAGCTGATATGCCTAATTATAGCTCAGCATTCAAAAATTCAATGTCATTTGTAGATCAGTGGTCACGGAATGAACGCGACTATGTCTTAAGTGGTAGGTCCATCAAATATTTAAATTACCATGAAGTAAAATATTCTATTTTTAATATATATGTTCTTTCTGCCATGGAGACACAAAGTTTGTGAATTTTTGCCCCCAAACTTTTAAATTTCAGCCTCACCATTTATCATATTTTTGATAATATGCATTGTGCCACTTTGATACAGATAAACTCTGCTATCACTCTGTGTAGGTCCTTAGGTTTGGATATTGGCTTTTCTGTTAGCATACAACATCTTACAAATCTTCATAATGTTGATGAGTTTCAAAAACTGGTTTTTTTCTACTTAACTATGCTTTGTGGTTTGTTTCAAATTTGTGATTTTTTACGATATTTTGCTATCACATCCTTCAGGTTTAAAATAACATCTATTTATCATATTATTGCTTTGTAATTCAGTGCTTGAATTAATCTTTATGATACACTCATACTCACACACGGATGACATTGTAGATGTCACACAGTTGACGTTGTAGATGTCACACACACAGATGACATTGTAGAAGTCACATACACAGATGACATTGTAGATGTCACACACACAGATGACATTGTAGAGGTCACACACACAGTTGACGTTGTAGAAGTCACATACACACAGATGACATTGTAGATGTTACACACAGATGACATTGTAGATGTCACACACACATGACATTGTAGATGTCACACACACATGACATTGTAGATGTCACACAGTTGACGTAGATGTCATACACAGATGACATTGTAGATGTCACGTACACAGATGACATTGTAGATGTTACACAGATGACATTGTAGATGTCACACACACATATGACATTATAGATGTCACACACAGATGACATTGTAGATGTCAAACACACAGATGACATTGTAGATGTCACACACACAGATGACATTGTATATGTCACACACACAGATGACATTGTAGAAGTCACACACAGAGATGACATTGTAGATGTCACACACACACACATGACATTGTAGATGTCACACACACAGATGATATTGTAGATGTTACACACACAGATGACATTGTAGATGTTACACATGACATTGTAGATGTCACACAGTTGATGTAGATGTCACACACAGATGACATTGTAGATGTCACACAGTTGACGTAGATGTCACACACACACACGACATTGTAGATGTCACACACACACAGATGACATTATAAATGTCACACACACACAGATGACATTGTAGATATCACACATACACACAGATATCACCATAGAAAGGATAGCACATGTGTATAGCTAAGAAGACATAAAGTTTTACATATAACAGGTTTTTTGTAAAGTTGTTCATAGAAAAAGTTTTCTGTAAAATTGTTCATAGAAAAACTTTTGTGTAAAACTTGTCACTTTTCCTTCCTACATGTACATATATCTGTGTACGTGTGTCATATCCATCATGACTTTGTCACAAGTTGTTAATAAAATATCTCTAACAAAATGTTCACTGATTTGTATTTATTTGTTCCTAATAATATACTCTGTGATTCCTTCCTCACAACAGGCTTAACTCTCCTTAAAGGTACTACTGCCTCAGGAGATATCACATTCACCACCTTATCACACTGTACTACCAAGTTCTCTGGTCACCACCTTATCACACTGTACTACCAAGTTCTCTGGTCACCACCTTATCACACTGTACTACCAAGTTCTCTGGTCACCACCTTATCACACTGTACTACCAAGTTCTCTGGTCACCACCTTATCACACTGTACTACCAAGTTCTGTGGTCACCACCTTATCACACTGTACTACCAAGTTCTGTGGTCACCACCTTATCACACTGTACTACCAAGTTCTGTGGTCACCACCTTATCACACTGTACTACCAAGTTCTGTGGTCACCACCTTATCACACTGTACTACCAAGTTCTGTGGTCACCACCTTATCACACTGTACTAACTAGTTCTCTGGTCACCACCTTATCACACTGTACTAACTAGTTCTCTGGTCACCACCTTATCACACTGTACTACCAAGTTCTCTGGTCACCACCTTATCACACTGTACTACCAAGTTCTCTGGTCACCACCTTATCACACTGTACTACCAAGTTCTGTGGTCACCACCTTATCACACTGTACACAGTTCTCTGGTCACCACCTTATCACACTGTACTAACATGTTCTCTGGTCACCACCTTATCACACTGTACTACCAAGTTCTCTGGTCACCACCTTATCACACTGTACTACCAAGTTCTGTGGTCACCACCTTATCACACTGTACTACCAAGTTCTGTGGTCACCACCTTATCACACAGTACTACCAAGTTCTGTGGTCACCACTTTATCACACTGTACTAACTAGTTCTCTGGTCACCACCTTATCACACTGTACTAACTAGTTCTCTGGTCACCACCTTATCACACTGTACTACCAAGTTCTCTGGTCACCACCTTATCACACAGTACTACCAAGTTCTGTGGTCACCACCTTATCACACTGTACTACCAAGTTTTCTGGTCACCACCTTATCACACTGTACAAACAAGTTCTGTGGTCACCACCTTATCACTCTATACTAACAAGTTCTGTGGTCACCACCTTATCACACTGTACTACCAAGTTCTGTGGTCACCACCTTATCACACTGTACTACCAAGTTCTGTGGTCACCACCTTATCACACTGTACTCAGTTCTCTGGTCACCACCTTATCACACTGTACTAACAAGTTCTCTGGTCACCACCTTATCACACCTTATCACACTGTACTGTACCAAGTTCTCTGGTCACCACCTTATCACACTGTACTACCTTACAACTGTACTACCAAGTTCTGTGGTCACCACCTTATCACACTGTACTACCAAGTTCTGTGGTCACCACCTTATCACACTGTACTAACTAGTTCTCTGGTCACCACCTTATCACACTGTACTACCAAGTTCTCTGGTCACCACCTTATCACACAGTACTACCAAGTTCTGTGGTCACCACCTTATCACACCTGTACTACCAAGTACTGTGGTCACCACCTTATCACAGTTCTGTGGTCACCACCTTATCACACTGTACTACCAAGTTCTGTGGTCACCACCTTATCACACTGTACTACCAAGTTCTGTGGTCACCACCTTATCACACTGTACTACCAAGTTCTGTGGTCACCACCTTATCACACAGTACTACCAAGTTCTGTGGTCACCACCTTATCACACTGTACTACCAAGTTCTGTGGTCACCACCTTATCACACTGTACTACCAAGTTCTGTGGTCACCACCTTATCACACTGTACTACCAAGTTCTGTGGTCACCACCTTATCACACTGTACTAACAAGTTCACCACCTTATCACACTGTACTACCAAGTTCTCTGGTCACCACCTTATCACACACTGTACTACCAAGTTCTCTGGTCACCACCTTATCACACTGTACTACCAAGTTCTCTGGTCACCACCTTATCACACTGTACTAACAAGTTCTCTGGTCACCACCTTATCACACTGTACTACCAAGTTCTGTGGTCACCACCTTATCACACTGTACTACCAAGTTCTGTGGTCACCACCTTATCACACTGTACTACCAAGTTCTGTGGTCACCACCTTATCACACTGTACTACCAAGTTCTGTGGTCACCACCTTATCACACTGTACTAACAAGTTCTCTGGTCACCACCTTATCACACTGTACTACCAAGTTCTCTGGTCACCACCTTATCACACTGTACTACCAAGTTCTGTGGTCACCACCTTATCACACTGTACTAACAAGTTCTCTGGTCACCACCTTATCACACTGTACTACCAAGTTCTGTGGTCACCACCTTATCACACTGTACTACCAAGTTCTGTGGTCACCACCTTATCACACTGTACTAACTAGTTCTCTGGTCACCACCTTATCACACTGTACTACCAAGTTCTGTGGTCACCACCTTATCACACTGTACTAACAAGTTCTCTGGTCACCACCTTATCACACTGTACTACCAAGTTCTGTGGTCACCACCTTATCACACTGTACTACCAAGTTCTGTGGTCACCACCTTATCACACTGTACTACCAAGTTCTGTGGTCACCACCTTATCACACTGTACTACCAAGTTCTGTGGTCACCACCTTATCACACTGTACTACCAAGTTCTCTGGTCACCACCTTATCACACTGTACTACCAAGTTCTGTGGTCACCACCTTATCACACCAAGTTCTGTGGTCACCACCTTATCACACTGTACTACCAAGTTC